CTGATTGCAAGGCACAGCAGTGGTGAGCCAAGGAGAGAAATTCCTGAATTAGATTCTCAGAGGAAACTTTCTGAGCAGCTTTCAGAATATAAGGCAGGAGTGGAGTCCTGGAGAAGCATGGACTTCCAAAAGAAAGCCCTATTCTATTAAATTTTTTTTTAAAAATATGAAATTAGAAAGATTTGGCATCCTCTCCCTCTGTATAGTTTCATCTCCTGTCTGACGGTGGCACTTTCTGCATAAGTTGCTGTAAATTGCTGTTTCTGGGACTTGCAGTCAAACACATACTAATAGATTAAGTAGGTGTTCGAGAAATGTTTGTAGCTCCTAGATACGAGCTGATGATGTGGGTTTGGTAGAGGAATCAGAGGTGTAAAGAGGCAGAAAACCAGTGGAGGAAGTCAGGGGATGTCCTAAGACATACAATAAGAGGCAGAGACCTGGGGCGGAGAGAAACAGAAATGTTTGGGGCAGAGCCTAGGAGAGTATCTTGTAGGCTAACACAGTTCCTGCATGGAAAGAAATGCTTTCTTGCCTCTGAACTTTGGATCATGCAATCCCTTCTGCCTGGAATGCCCTTACCCCTCCTCTTTCCCCAGTAAACTGTCACTTGTTCTTTCAAGATTCAATTCAGGTATTACCTCCTTCAGGAAATCTTACCTGATTACCCTGCCTGGGTGCTCCCCTGATCTCCACTCCTATTCCTATCCCTGCACGCAGATCATTGTTCTAATATTATGGGTGTACCCGTCTTCTTCCCTAAGTCATGAGATGACTGACGACAGGCACTGTGGCTTGCTCACCCCTGTGTGCCTCAATAAATGTGTGTGGAATGAATAAATGAGAAACAGGAGAAAAGAAGAAAGGGAAAGAGGCTCTTGTTCTGTTCCTCAATCCCAGGAAGAAAGGAGGCAGTGTACCATTACTCAGGAAAAAGGCCAGGAGGGGACTGTGGATCTATTCCAGGAATAAAAGCAAAGGGCTCTTGTCTTTTTATCAGCCTTTTTCTTTTTCATCAAAACGAGAAGGCCCAGAACTGTGTTCTCTGCACTTACATAAGCTTTCCTAGGCTGAGTAACTCCTGTGCAGTGGTTTCTCCACAGTAGCAAATAGCCAAGCCGTTGGCATTGAAGAGCCCGTGGGCTTGTCTTCAAGACAGGAAGAAGGATGGAGCCTCACAGCCAGTGTTGGAGAGAGGGATTCCCTAGGCAAGGCACTGGAGGGTGGCACCTTCAAAGAGCAGCGGAAAGAAGGCTGAGGTCCTGGGGCCTGTGACTAGGAAGAAAAGGAGAGTTTAGAGAAAGGTCTGGACCTGAGAAGTGACCATTAAGTTTGAAAATAGGCCCCCGAAGACCTTACACAGGGAGCTGTTTTACCAGATGCCAAAGAGTTCGGGCCTATGGCCAAACCTGGAGAGAATGTTTTAAGACCTGGCAGTGGCTAAGCAACTTAGCTCTGCCTTGGAAGAAAAGGCAAAATTGGGAAGAACTCCAGAAAAATATTTCAAAAATCAGAGCCCCTAAGCTTTAGTCTACATGCCAACTCTAATCAGTGGGTAAGGGCTTTCGGTATTGTTAAACTGAGAAGGAATCTAAAGCTATCACCACAGTTGGTTAAAAAAGAAAGAGAAAAGTAAAGAAAGAAAGAGCTCTGATTGATTAATCCTGTCTGCTATAGGTTTAGGTAGGGAGGAATAGGAAAGAACCTGGAAATCAGAATGAAAGATAAAAGAGGGGGCTTTTTTTTTTAAGATTTTATTTATTTATTTGAGAGAGAGAGACAGATAATGACAGATAGCAAGAGAGAGCACAAGCAGGGAGAGTGGGAGAGGGAGAAGCAGGCTCCTGCTGAGCAGGGAGCCCAACGTGGGGCTTGATCCCAGGACTCCAAGATCATGACATGAGCCGAAGGCAGACTGAGCCACCCAGGTGCCCCACCCTTTTTTTTAGAGAAAGAGAGAGCACAAGCCAGGGAGGAGAGGTAGAGGGAAAAGCAGACTCCCTGCTGAGCAGGAAGCCCAACATGGGGCTCATTCCCAGGACCCGGCGCTCAATCCCAGGACCCTGCAGGATCATGATCTGAGACACTTAACCAACTAAGCCACCCAGGTTCCCCAAGAGGGGGCTCCTTAAAGATATTATTGAATGACTTAAATCTGGCAGGGCCTGTACCTGAGCGGAAATATCATGGGCTTTGTCATTAGAAAGAGCTGACTTTCAATCCTGGTTCTGCCCCATTTCTTAGCCATGCAAGCCTGGGCAATTTACAAAACCCAATCAGTAATTGGGACTGTGCTGCAGATTCAATTAAATAGCCTATAATAATAACAGGTAACACATAGCAATTTCTATGTGCCAGGCATTGTTTCATGACCTTTACATACATTCACTAATTTAATCCTCACAACAACCCATAAAGTTACTATCCCTGATTTACCAAGGAGGAAACTAAAAGTTCAGGAAGGGTGACAATTAATGAGTAGCAGAGATTCCCACCCAGGCAGTCTGGCTCTCATTCTTAACCATCTTAACAGATACTGTAGCCAACCACTTTCCATTGCTGATCGCAATCACTGTGTCAAGCGACTGACATAAACTCTGTGATTTAACTTCCCTCCATAAGACTTGCACCCTGCAGTTCGCACATGCATAAAACATTTTACAGAGCACTTCATCTTAAACCATGTGAGCTAAGAGTCATGAACAGGACAAGAGCATGCATTCACCTGAAGAAAGGAGAAAGAAGGACAAAATCAGGACTCTGGAATTTGGTCTCTCACAAAACATCTCTGGCCTTTTTACTTTTTGCTCTAGCATGAATGGTTTACTCAAGATCCTCCAAAATACACAGGACAGAGAAGCCAGATGAGGGAGTCTTCGTTTTGTGGAGGACCTGTTCTGCTTTCTCCTGTGTTGGAATGAAGTATTCTTTCACAAAATGGTTCAGAGCAGGTGTCAACAAACTATGGGTCCTGCATCAAATACTGCCCATTTTTGTAATAAAGTTTTATTGGAACATAGCCAGGTTTATTCTTTGATGTTTGGTCTCTGGCTCGTCTCACACTAAACAGCAGATCTGAGTAGGTGCAAAACAGACCATATGGTTTGCACAGCCACCAATCTGGCCCTTTGCAGAAAAACTGTTGATCCCAGCTGTCCACTTTAGGCCAGATTTTCTATATACCACTATGGCACAGGTGATCATCTCATGTCCTTAGCTAGGGAAGGAAGAACACTACATCCCCTTCGGTGTTGGCTAGGAGAGGTGTGAAATAGCATATCTATAAGAGGAACCAAAATGAAAACAAATGTGGCCAGAACAGCACACAAAGTGTGCTCTGAGAAGGGTTAATCAATGTTTGTGATAAAACAGTTCCGGGGTCAATTGGGAACTTCGGTGGTAAACAACAACCTTAAGCAGATTTCTCTACTGCGGGACTTCTCAGGACCTTTAAAATGCCATTATGCCTTGAGATCTCTCCGAGGGTGATATGGTTCACAGAACGTACTTTCCCCATGGGCCTATGTTCTTCAGAACATTCTTTGGGAAATGCTGAAATAAAAGAAGTATTTAGAATCATGCTCCCTGGGAACTAGAAATGAAAACTATGTGAACTGTGGCTTAATGAGCATGTCTTTTTCTCAGTAAGGAAACAAAATGAAGAAGAAATGAAAAGAGCCAGGGTGAACAAAAAAAAAAAAGAAAAGAAAAGAAAAAAGAAAGAGAGGTGTTTGAAGGGAAGAAGGAAGGAAGCAGGGCCCTGGAGAAATAACATGGGAGGAGCTGAGGAACACTTGGAGGACTGGACTATCAGAGGGAACAATGTGCCAAAGGCTGGGGCTGCCACCCACACAGGAAGTGCGGCCACGTCCATCATCACCACGGTCATCGTTGGCACTACCAGGGGCCTCACTACTCTGCAGATCCTGTGTTATGTCCTTTAGACCTACGATGTCACTTCATTCCCATTTTACAGATGAGGAAATAGAGGCATAGACAAGTAAGTAGTCAGAGTCAAAGCTTATAAAGCTTGTAAGTGGCAATGCATAGATTCAACTCTGTGATCTGGCCCAAATGCCCATGTTCTCTCCACCACACTGCCCTGCTCTACCTGTACCTGCATTTGACTGAGGGCGGTAAGCACAAACAGGATTCCATTCGGAGATGCGACACGAAGCCATTTGGAGGAAAAGACAAAACAAACCAACCAATGTCACTTTGATAACTGACTACACAGGGAGCCAAACAGCTAGAGGACTGATTTTCCCCGCCTACAGGACAGCCAGATGTTTAGATAGCATGTTTTCTTCTTCTCCCTCTTTTTACTCTTGTCTTAACTATTCCTTCTTAACTCCTATCATAAGTTATCTATCAGGCTTATCGAAGGTCCTACATTTGCTCCTAAAGTGAACATAATAGTTTTTGAATGTTAAGAAAGCATTTTCAACCCAACACGACAACTACTGTATTTATAAGCCCCATTTAGATTTCCACAACTACTGAGTCTTTTTTTCAGGTTCTGAAAACATGAATCACAGCTCAATTAAATCTTTCGTGGCTCAGAAATGTACCTGCATTTGAATACTCGCATTTATCCACTTTCTAGCTTACCACTGACTTCCATGCTTAAAGTATGATGAAAATAGTAAATCACACTGGTCAGTAGAGTTAAACCCAGGTCTGGAAAAGCAGTCTAGCATGTAAAAACTCGCAAAGAGTATCCTGTATTTGCTGCAATGGCAAAAAAAAAAAAAAAAGAAAAAGAAAAAGAAAAGAAAAAAAAGAAAGAAAGAAAGAAAGAAAGAAAAAGAAAAAAAGAAAAAGAAAAATGGTTGCCTCGGCATGCTACAAACATTGGCTGGGAGCTCCTGAAGGCGAAGTTCATGTGGGACAATCCACTTCTGATTTACATTCTTGAGTCTACAGCAAAACAAAGGGCTGCTGCAGGCGGGCAGGGAAGAATGGAAAGACTGCCACACTGCTCGTCAATTTCTGTTTACCTGGTGACCGGTGAGGGCAGGGCTTTGGGCTCCTTGGTCCAGAAGAGCTGTAGGGCAGAATGTTCAACTCCTGGCTGGCTCGGGGTTGCTGCCCTTCACGCTGCTTCGGCTGCTTCTAAGATCCCATTGGAAAGCCCAAAGGGCTGGAGAGCCCGAAGGCCAATATTACATTTCCAAGAGAGTATTCCTCCCCCTGCCCCCCACCGCCCCCCCCCCCCCGCCCTTTGCTTGCGTTGACTTTGGAGAGGCTCGGATTTCTTCCACTCCTGCGCGGAGCAGCTGGGAGAGTTGGGAATCAGGCGTTGCGCTGGCGGCCGGGGTGAGGCGGCCCCCGAAACCACTTCCAGATGTGCTTGGCAGGCCGGCTCGCATGGCCAGACTTCCTCTGGCATCCTCCTCCAGCAGTCTGCATGCAAATCATTTTGAAAACAAGACAGCTCTGGAGGAAAAGATTCAAAACCGGAGAAAAGCAAATGCTTGGACGGTGGATTTCCACTATGCGCTGGGTCTAGGGTAAACTTTGAAAGAGCAGAAGTGGAAAAATGAAGTTCATACTGATTTTCAGAATCTCAAATTACCCACTAGTTTCTCGTGAAATCCCCCAGTCATTAAAGTGCTGTGGCCCCCAAATTAAAGCCCAGCTAACAGCAATGGTCTCATTTTACCAAGGCAATGATACCAATAGGAGTTTTTAAGATGGTGTGTTTTGAGCCTGAACATGGAAAGGAATCAGGCAGGGAGTCAACCCCACCCAGCTCTAGGCTGTTCTCTTTCTGCTATTGATTCTCAGAAACCCAGGAAATGGTGCCAGTACTTTGCCTGGGATCATAGAATTTATTTCTGCAACCTCTCTCCTTAGCTCCTATAAGGAAATGAGGATCCCTCTACTCACTGGCTCTTTTTAAGTGGCATTTCCCGATAGAAATATAATGTAGGCCACCCCATAATTTAAAATTTTCTAGTAGTCACCTTAAGATTAGTACAAAGACAGGGCATCTGGCTGGCTCAGTCAGAAGAGCGTGCAGGTCGTGAGTTTCAGCCCCACAGTGGGTGTAGAGATTACTTAAATAAATAAATAAATAAACAAACAAAATTTTAAAAAGAGAGGGAGAAAGAGAATAACCATGTGCCAGGCACTCGGCTGAGCATTAACAGAAAAAGAAAAAGAAAAAGGTAAGTACAAAGAGGTAAAATTAATTTTAATGATATATTTTATTTAACCCTATACAAAATATGACTTCAACATGTAATTATACATTCTTTTTTGTATTAAGTCTGAAGTCCGGTGTGTATCTTATACTTGTAGCACATCTCAATTCAAATACTAAATTTCATCAGAAACAATTGATATGTATTTAGATTTCATATAATTTGCAGTTTAAAAATTAGGCTCACATACTCAGGCTGTTCCAAGCATACTTAAAAGCTTTCCAATAGTGAATCAAGTATCAGTTCTTCAACTTAAATTCATTAACACTAAGTAAAATTTAAAAGCTAGTTCCTCGGTTGCACTAGTCACATTTTAAATGCTCAATAGCCAGTGTGCCTAGTGGCTACTGTATTGAACGATGTAGCTCTAAAGGGTTTAGTGGGTTTGTTTGTTTTTTCAGACTTGAACTTGGAGAGTGGGAATATCTGGAATAGCTTCCCTTTGTATAGAACTTTGAACATTGACAAAGCATCTTCACATCTTCTATTTCGTTTTCTTCTCATAACATTCTCATTAGTAAGTTGAACAGAGATGTTGTTTGCCCCAATCTGCAGATCAGCAAATGTAGGTTTTGAGCATGCTAATGTCCCAAGTTCCCAAAGCAAGTTGGTGATGAAGCCCGGACTGGAATTCTCATCAGCAGTTCTCACCTGTTTCTTACTTGAGGCATGCTTCAAATACTGGGATCTTTGGCTACAACTCTAAGGGTGAAACTGCATCCAGGGCTTTTGCATTCTTCACTTGGCGGGCCTTCAGCATCCAGGCACTGTTCGTATGGAGTTATCCGCTGCCCTGGCGGTGTTCCCTTACATACCCCTATCCTAAAGCCCTCATACCATCCAGGAAATATGCCATTTTTCTTTGAAGCAGGCTTGACATTATGCTATTCCTCTTTTCTCTTTACTCCCAGGAGGTATACTCTGTTTTGGGGGGGTTTTTTAAAGATTTTTTTATTTATTCATTTGAGACACAGAGATACAGAGAGAGAGCATGAGCAGTGGGAGAGGCAGAGGGAAAGGGAGAAGCAGACTCCCCGCTGAGCCAGGAGCCCGATGTAGGGCTCAATCCCAGGACCCTGGGATCATGACCTGAGCCGAAGGCAGATGCTTAACCATCTGAGCCACCCAGGCACTACAGTATACTCTGTTTTAAAGTGCAACTTCACCCAATGTTTTAGCTAACAGACATAGTGGTCATGTATTCATCTTTGATTGCAGCAGGTCCATTTGATCCATGGACCGCCTGTGGGAAGTGAGAAGGTTCAGCAGCAACACAGAGTGCACTCGAGCACTCCTGCTCTAGTCCTCATGGCCCTCACATGCGCAAAAATATCAACATTTCCTGTCCTTCCAGAATTATGTGCTGTCAGGAGCAGCGGGACAGTCAGTCAGATGTGTCCCAAAGCATTGTGATGGGAAGCCCTCCAAGCTGACTCCTGCTTACTCCAGTTTCCTCCAAAGACCAGGTTTTCTCTCCCTTTGCATCTCTCATCCACTTAGCAGAATGCCTGACCCAGTGTGAGAGCTGGTGGCTAAGTAGGTTCAGAGAGTATGACAGCCCAAGTACCCCAGAGGGGGACTCATAATTGAAATAATAATTCTGTTGTTTTCATAGGCTCTGCTTGCTATTCATATTGGCTTCCATCTGGACCCAAATCCCTCTGCTCATTGCCCTACTGTCTCCAACTTGGGATTCTCTCTCCTTTATTTCTAGTGGGCCATGTTCTTTTTTCTTTTTTTTTTAAAGATTTTATTTATTTATTAGAGAGAATGAGAGAAAGAGAGCATGGGGGGGGGAGGCAGGGCCAGAGGGAGAAGCAGACTCCCTGCTGAGCAGGGAGCCCAATGCAAGGCTCAATCCTGGCACTCCGGGATCATGACCTGGGCTAAAGGCAATTGTGAAACGAACTGAGCCACCCAGGCACCCTGGGCCATATTCTAAGGATGTAAGAGGCTTATTACCTGTGACCTAGACTTCCACATTGTGTGCACAGGTTCTTCCCTGGGGAAGAAATGAGAACAGAAAGAGATGCAGGTTTTAAGGGACACTCTGAGAAGTATAGTGGCTGCCAGCATGGGCTCTGGGGACAGACAGACACACTCAACTGTTAGCTCAGACATTATACTGAACACATCACTCAAAACCACTCACCTGTGGTTTCCGCAGCTATAGAGTGGGGAACCTCCTGGTGAGGGTTAGAAGATATCATGCATGTAAAGCATTCAGTAAGGGCTCAATACATGGAAGTTATCACAGTCATCTCCCCTTGTCTGTGAAGAGTCTACTCCCAGACCCCCAGGGGGTGCCTGAAACCATGGATGATTCCAAAACTCTATATATACTATGTTTTCTTGCTACACATATATATCTATAATAAAGTGTAATTTACATATTAGACAACAATAATGATAAAATACAACAATTACAATATACTGAAATCAAACCTATATGAATGTGGTCTCTGTTTCTCTTTCTCTCTCTCAAAAGATCTCATTGTACTTACCTTCTCCTTGTGACGATGTGAGATGACAAAATGCCTACGTGATGAGACAAGGTGGACGAAGTGACGTGAAGGATGCAGGCATTATGGTCGGCTACATCGTCTTCTCACCATCCAGCATCACAAGGGGGATTATCCACTTCCCGACTCTGTTGACAGAGGGTACAGAAACCTGAGAAAGCACAACTGCAGATAAGGGGGGACTACTGTATTTTTACTGTCAGATGAAGACACCCCTAGTTCAAAGTATGAACTAAGGAAAGGACTTATAACAGTAAGCAATTTGTAACTTTTTCTTAAAAAGTCCAAAAGAGTGATATGATGTTGCAAACACTGCCAGTAGCCTACTTAATACCCGTCTCTGCTCCTTCCCTTGAACTAGAAACACTCTTTCATTTGGAGGCAGCAATGGTCCAGTTACAAATACTCACCTCCTGCTGTCTGTCACTTCCTAAAAAGCTATTATTTTCCTGGCAAAGAGCTATTTGGTGCCTTTTGCCATTTCTTCCTGTCTGAAATCCAACCTTGATGCCTGGAGGTAGACTATCCATCTTGCAGCTCTGGGGCTGAAAGGGCCACACTGTGCTGCTGCATATGGGCCACACCAGCTATGCACAGATTACGGTGTTGAATCGGTCAGGGTCCTGGCAGGATACAGACGGCTCACTCCAAAAGGCTAATGGTGGAGACTCTGCAAAAAGGCACTATTTGAAAAGGTCTGTATTAAGGAAACATGGTTACGAGTGTTGCAATAAGGTGGCGTTAGCAACCGCAGGGAGGTATGGCCACCTGTAACCCTGAAGGGTAAGGCAAGGGAGGGATTACTTGGAGTGGGAAAGTAGCTGAATGGACAGGGCTACCCAAGAGGAGCAGCTGGTGCTGACCCACACTAAGGGGACAGGGGGCTAATGACCCCAAGTTTATGGTAATATAATTTACCATCTGACTCATTCATCTGTCTGATTCAGCAGCCCTGCTCATGTTAGGGAGGACAGAGCAAGAACATGGGAGGAGCCGAAGTCCCTGCTGGCCCTGGGAGTCACCAGAGCAGCCCTGCACCAAGTGATCTGAAACATCTAACCACATGAGGAAAACAAACCATTGCATGGGTATGTCACTTTGGTCAGGTTTCAGTTACATGCCTGAATGCAGTCCTCTGGGATTTACAGGTATCTTGTATTTGTGGTATCATTAGCTGACACGGTGTATATCTGAGTCATTTTTATTCTGTGTTTATTTTTTATTAGTTGAGAGTCAAATGTTCATCATTCCTTCTTACCCAATGGGCCTGCCTTGGCTGAGTGTACTGCTTTGTAGATAGGGTCCTAGATAAAATCTATTAAGGCTGATAAACGGACCAAAAGGAAGGAAGAAGCTTTGTACAGGAGCAGTGAATCACTACATTGGGTCAGGCTGACAGCCTCGATTATCGCCCCATCTCCCCGGGCTGGGCTCCAAGGTCACCCACATGGGGCAGGAAGTGTAACTTGGGGAGTCTCAGTTCCCTCTCCTTTTCCTGATGGGGCTCAATGATGGGTCACCTTCTAGTCCCGAGCGGAGGCCCTCTGGGCTCTTCTCTGCTACCCACTAGGCTATGGCAATTGTGCTTGCACCTGACTCTTGACCTGGAGGCCGTCTTTCTCACTCAGGTGAGTATTTTTCTCCCTTCACTCATGTACCAGTTCCCTGTTCTGGTAACTGGTGTAGGCTCTACCTGGCCTAGAGTCCTGGCTTGCTCTTGCCAGCTGCCCCCACCATGCCCTGACCACAGCTCTAGCCAAGACCTATGGCTGGAGCCCTGTGATCTGTGACAGACCTCTCAGACACCATCTGCTTCTTTCATCCCAGGAGCCCTGCCTGCCCTGCCTCTCTGAGTCCTGCCCACCTGCCGGCACTCCCCAAAACTCCTTCCCAGACCTCTGCCAATAAGCCCTTGGCGTGAATCCTCAGTTGAGATTAAGGTATCCCTTGGACATGGTAATTTACATGCTTGGCTGAAAACACAGCACTGTCTGCCACCTCCCAGCACCAGCCCCTCTCTCTCCAGCTGACTCCTCAGTGGCCTGTGGCTCAGAAGGAAGAGTAGAAACAGTAGTAATATAATGAAAATGACAAAGACGATACAAGTAAAACAGTCTACTACTTACTAAGTGCTAACTACCTGCCAGGCATCACACAGAGCAGCATAGCCCTTGCTTTGCATGGCAACGGCACAAATCTGTTTTCATGGTTTAGTTCGATGATGACATCAGGTGCTCATTAGGCACTCAACAGCCCAATTCACAGTTCATATCTGTTACCATAGTATATTAACTGTGACTACTTGCCTAAGGACAAACTCTGCTGCTAACTTTTTAATTCATGAAATTACCCTGCAAATAATGGATCCAAATTGTGATCTGTGACCAATCATGTCACTTGTCTGACAGTCAGCCAGTGATTGGTCACTGGACATTTGTTATTCAGTTTATGTACAGATAAAGCATGTATAGGTTGTGTCGCTTCCTTAATTCCCGGTGATATTTACAAAACTCTTGTGATATTTACAAAAATGGATGATAGAGAGAATTGGCCAACCAAGATAATAGGGTAGCAAAGAAACAAAAAGCGGTAATTTTCAGAGTGAAGTTCAAATCAAAGGTAAATGGAGGTAGAGAAGAAAGGGCTGGCTGTGGGATGATACTGTCACTATGCAACTCTAGACATGCAGCCCGAAGAATTTAGTAAAGGTGACTTGATGGACATAAATGCAGAAAGTGGTTGTGCAGAAAAGGATGAAGATGTTTCCAGGGAAGAGACGTGGATAAAAAAATTCATCTTAAAGGAACTCTCAAAGATATTTCATGACATTGAAATTGCAAAGAGTAAAATATGGAAAGCTGATCCAAACCTGGAAAGGAGTATGACAATTTGCCAAGGCACAGAAAAGATGCTCAAGGAACTCTCAAAGATATTTCATGACATTGAAATTGCAAAGAGTAAAATATGGAAAGCTGATCCAAACCTGGAAAGGAGTATGACAATTTGCCAAGGCACAGAAAAGATGCTCACTCTGTACAGTAAGTTATATGGCAGAAAGGGAAGCACTGCTCAAGCTACTCTTGATAAGTTTTTTTTTTTAAGATTTTATCTATTTATTTGAGATAGAGAGAGAAAGAGAGAGAGAGCAGGAGTGGGGGAGCAGAAGGAGAGGGAGAAGCAGGCTCCCCACTGAGCAGGGAGCCCGATGCGGGGCTCAATTCCAGGACCCTGAGATCATGACCTGAGCTGAAGGCAGACACTTAACTGACTGAGCTACCCAGGCGCCCCACTCTTGATAAGCTTTAAACAAAAACCAAAAAAATCCAAAAAAACCCCAAACATTTAATTCTCAATGTTTCTAATGATTCAAATTACAGTATAGCAAATAAATACTAGGTCTACTAATTTTTTCATTTCCCTAGGCATTTATTTTATTTTTTTAAAGATTTTATTTATTTATTTGACAGAGAGCACAAGCAGGGGGCAGAGGCAGAGGGAGACTTAGGGTCCCTGTCTAGCAAGGAGCCTGATGTGGGACTCGATCCCAGGACCCTGAGATCATGACCTGAGCTGAAGGCAGATGCTTAACTGACTGAGCCACCCAGGCACCCCTGCCCTAGGCATTTAAAACCAATAGTAAGAGTTTTAAATATTTTGACAAAAATATTTAAAGATCACAGCACAATTGTAACTTTTCCCCATTGAAATTTAAGATCACTTTGCAACTCATGTGGTCATTTTTAGAGAACTACACTACTGGGGCACCTGGGTGGCTCAGTCAGTTAGGTGTCTAACTTTTGGTTTTGGTTCAGGTCGTGATCTCATGGGTGGTGGGATCAAGCCCCACATCAGGCTCCAAGCTCCGATCTCAAAGAGGTAGTCTGCTTGAAGTTTCTCTCCCTCTGCCCTTCCCCACCCCTCCCAAATAAATAATCTTAAAAAAAAAAAAAAAAAGAACTACACTACCATGCAAAGCAAGGACTGCCTGTACTTTACATATATTATTTCATTTGGTCTTCAAAACAACTCTAAGAAATAGATGCTATTGGGTGCCTGGGTGGCTCGGATGGTTAGGCGTCTGCCTTCAGCTTAGGTCATGATCCCAGGGTCCTGGGATCGAGTCCCGCATCGGGCTCCCTGCTCCTTGGGAGCCTGCTTCTCCCTCTGCTTCTCTCTCTCTCTCTGTCTCTCATGAATAAATAAAAATAAAATCTTAAAAAAAAAGAAATAGATGCTATTATTATCCCCATCTTATAGACAAAGAATCTGAGGCTCAAAGAGGATAAATAATTTGACCAAGACTACAAAGCTAGTAAATGGCTACACCTACTGAATTCTAAATCCCAAGACTTTAATTCTTGCTATGTTGAAAATCCAGATACCTGATGGGTGTTTGATATGGGAGAGCAAGAGTGATGGGGGAAAAGTAGTGAGAGATGAAGGTACCTTCTCTAATGGAACCCTGAATGGCTAGAGCAGCACCATCCATTAGAGCTTTTTGTTTTCTATATACACTTATAAAATAGAAATATTTATGTAATCTATAATCCATGGTATAGAAACATAATATATTCAACCCTAGTGCACATGTAAATCCATGTGTACTTCTGAATCCACCTTTTCTTGATCCTTCAGGATCTTGCTCCATCAAGTGTCAATTCTCCCTAGGTAGGCCTAGTAGGTTAGCTCAAGCAACTCTCATTTCCAACTTTATTCTTCCTTGCCTGCTTCTCATTATTGAGGCTGAAAACAGACAAACAAACAAAAACAACTACTTTCCCAGACTCCTGTAGCCACCCTCCTGCAAGATGAACCCCAATGTCTGTTTTCTCCTTTCTCTATAGCAGAGCCTTGAACATTAGCTGGGAACATGGCCATTCTAAGTGAAAACTACATGTCCCAGATTTTCTTCAACTAACTGTGGCCTTGTGACTAAATATTGGCTTATGGGATGTAAGCAGAAATAATATGTATAATTCCAAAATGTGTTCTGGAGAAGGGAACATTCCTTTCCCTTACTCTCTCCTGTTGGCTGGAATATAGATGCAACAGCTAGAGCTGGGGCAGCCATCTTGGACCATGGGTTGGAAGGAGGAATTCCAATCCAGAAAGTCTACAAGTTCCAGAGGACTTGGTGAAACACAGCTGCCATGCCTGCCGGCTTTGGACAGCTATGACCAAAATTCATTTATATGGGAGAAATAAACGCTTTTAAAGCCATTATTTTTTTCGTATTTCCGTGAGTATAGTGAATGTAATCTTTTTTTTTTTTTAAGATTTTATTTATTTGACAGAGAGAGACACAGTGAGAGAGGGAACAAAAGCAGGGGGAGTGGGAGAGGGAGAAGCAGGCTTCCCACCGAGCAGGGAGCCCGAGGCAGGGCTCGATCCCAGGACCCTGGGATCATGACCTGAGCCAAAGGCAGATGTTTAATGACTGAGCCACCCAGGCGCACCTAGTGAATGTAATCTTAATATACCAAATGCCCTAGTTCTGGCCAATGAAATCCAAGAGCAAGTGTGCTGGATGACTTCTAGGCAAGATGCTTTTTTCCTTGTAAAAGGAGAGTTCTATTTCCCCATCCTGGCTGTCTTCCTGCTTTTTATCTTTGGGCATGGTTGTGAGAGGACACAATGCCCGGAGCTGCAACAACCTTCTTATGACCACAAAGGAAAGGCCAAGAGAAATTCAGAGCCACTAACCAGAACCGTGACACCACTGAACTAACCCCAGATTTCTTGTGCAAAATAATGAACAGCCTTATCATTTAGCCACTGTGTTGGATATTCTGCCACTTATAACAGAAGCATTTCCAAATGACATATTCTCTTGCTATGAATGTTTATGCCCCCCTCCCCAAATTCACATGTTGAAATCCTCACCCCCAAGGTGATGACACTAGGAGGTGGGACCTTTGGTATTTCGGTGTGTAGGTCATGAGGGTGAAGCCCTCATGAATGGGATTAGTGCTCTTATAAAAGAGACTTTAGAGAGTCACCCCTTCCACCATGTAAAGATACAGCGAGAAGTCAGCAGCCTGCAACCAGCAAGAGGGCCTTCACCAGAACCTGACCATGCTGCATTCTGATCTTGGACTTCCAGCCTTCAGAACTGTGAGAAATAAATTTCTGTTATTTATAAGCCACCCTGTCTGTGTAGTATTTTTTTTAAAAAGTTTTTTTTTTTTTTTTTTAAGTAATCTCTATACCTCACATGGAGCTTGAACCCTGAGACCAAGAGTCACATGCTCTACCAACTGAGCCAGCCCCAGTCCATAGTATTTTAACAGCGGCCCAAACTGACTAAGACATCTCTATTGCTCCTTCAGTCTCTCCTTTTCAACAGCATCTTTTTCTGGGCCCACAGTCATGCTCATGTCAGCCATGCAAAATAATGCAGTTTGCCCTGTATCCATCTCTCCCTCCAGCCACTGTGTTTTCTTTCCTTTCATGGGCAAATCTCTGTAAAAAGCAGACTATACACATTATCTGCACTTCCTTACTTGTTACTCATTCTTTGATCTTCTCTGGCTTCCCTCCTCCCACTCCACTTGAGTATTTTAATCCAGGCCACTAATAACCTCCTAATTTGCAAATCCAACAGACACTTACTTGTCTTTTTCTTCTCTGACCTCTCTATGGCTTTTGGCTTTGATAACCACTTCCGCCTTTGTGAAACTCCCTTCGCCTGGGGCTTCTTACCCTCGCCCCGTTCCCTTCTGACCTCTCTGGCTCCTCACTCTGTCTCCTCCATGAGTGCCTCCTTCTGTTTTAACCTCCTAAAGGTTCGCTTCTTCAGGGTGCTCTCCTGCCTCACTCTTCCCTTTCTACACTCTCCTCCTAGATGCTAACTTCCATTCCTAGAGTTTCAGAGATTGAAGGTCGCCTTCTTGAGAACCAGGGACCTACTCTAAACTCCTCATTAAGCAGAGTTGAGCCAAAGCTGCTGTGGTAAAATATCATTTCCATTGGATTAAGCCCTTTGTCATGGATTGAATTGTGTTCCCCAAAAAGATATGTTGAAATCCTAATACCCAATATATGTGAATGTGACCTTATGTGAACATAGGGTCTTTGCAGGTGTAATCAAGATGAGGTCATTAGGGTGTAACTGTGAACTTATAAGCAGAGAAGAGACCCAGATACACAGGGACAACACTGTGTGATGATGAAGGCAGAGTTTGGAGATGTAGCTATAAGCCAAGGAATGCCTAGGATCAATGGCCACCACCAGAAGCCAGGAAGAGGCAAGGAAACATTCTCCCCTACAATTTTCAGAGGGATTGTGGCCCTGCTGACACTTTGATTTTGGGTTTCTAGCCTCCAGAACTGTGAGGCAACAAATTTCTGTTGTTTCAAGCCACACAGTTTGTGGTATTTTGTTACAGCAGTTCTAGGAAATGAATACATACTTCCTCCATTGTCCTGCACCTCCTTATCTAAGCAACCAGTTATGACTTGTAATCACCTTTCTTGTAATGTTTTGCCTTCATCTTTCCTCCAGTTCAGGATTTTAAGCCTTTCACATATCATAGACCAGTTTTGATTTTTTTTAAATTTGAATATCAACATTGGGTTTATAGCTTTCAATTTTGCCCTTCATCTTTTGCTATAACAGCATTAAATACACACACACACACACACACACACACTCACACACAACTACCCTCTACTTACAGCATCACTCATAAAAGTTAGGACATCTTAACCCTAACCTCTCAGAAAAAAGTACAGTTCTTATTAAATATTTTAAGTTCTATGAAAGGTGCATTGCTTTGTCCCAATACTTTCCCAGTATTGTTTCAGATACATACTTTGTAACAGAAACATTTATGTATGTGACAAAGAAAAATATTAATGCATAAATATTCATAGACTCTTTGTTTCCAGCCATCTTCCCCCTCCTTTCCCAAATTCTTTTTGACCATATTGTAAAATTGGGGTAATCGGTAAAGGAAAAACGTGAGAAGCAGGAGCTGAAAGAACAGGGAGAATTCCTTTTAAAAAAGATAATCATTTCTCAAAGGAAAGTTTAGATGGATGAGGAGGTGGAGAGGCAGGCTCAGGACTGAGAGAGTTGGAGAGGGGATGATACAGGTGTAGGAGAGAAATTGCTAATGGTAAAGGATGAAGAAAAAGGAATTTTAGGAAATTTGCTGTATGTTGTGTGTATCCCCCCTTTGGTACCTTGTTGAGAGTGTGAGGCAGGGACTTAAACTGCTTTCAAAAATTTTTTTTTTCTTCTGGAATTGTATCTCTTCGAGTGCGATTCTTTATAGGACCAGATGATAAGGCAAGCTCAGTCTTAACAGGGTTACATGCCTGTGAGCAAAGGCAGTTATTGTATAGCTGTTAGAAAAAGGGGCTATGGGATCAGAAGCCCTGCGTTTGAATCCTGGTCCCAATCCGCTTCTGCTGTGTCGGTGGGAGAATTACTTTACTTCTTTGTGCCTCATTTCCCCATCCACGAAAGGGAGATAACAGTACCCACTTTACTGGATTGTTGGGAGAATCATGAGGCAATTAGGACAGCGTTTGGCAATGGAAGACCCTCAAATGTCAGCTAGTAATAAAACGGAAACCTACAGATAGTTTCCACCTGCTGAAACAAACCTTTCGCGGCTAACTGTTGCTAAACTTCTTGGCATGACACCCAACAAAACCTCAAGTGCCCGAGCAGGCTTAGCTCCGACCTTCCCTCCGGCATCCTCAGGTTCGGCCGGGAAGCCTCACTCGCGGCCGCTCGCTCGCGCGGCCGGCGCCTCCCTCCTCCCGCATTCGCGGGCATCCTCGACGCCTGGGCGCCCCGGGCGCGCGCGTCACCCGCCGGCCGAGGACGACTTCCCTCTCTCCTCCCCGCGCTCCCGGCACTTCGAACCTCTACGCGAGCTTTTCTCCCCGTTGCGCTGTAACTGTTCAAAGGGTCTGACTCGCCCTCACATCCTAGATGCTCAATTAAAGGGGCCATAAAGGAAAACATTGTACCTTCTCCCGCAAATACAAAACGGGGGGCCCTGGGTGGGGAGGGGAGACTTGGTTGGTAGGAATGTCTTTACACCCCAAGGCCCGTTGTCCAGGGTGCCAGGCCCCGACGTAATGCCGGGGGCTGAGGGCGGGGCTCCCTTCCGGGGACCCCTAGGCTCTCCGCTGGCCTCCAGCCTCTCCCGGGACGCCCGCGGTCACGTGACCCTCCACCCCCGGCGCACAGCTGGAGGCGGTTCCCCGCCCTCCCCCGGGAGCGGCGGCGCCGGAGCGGGCGCGGTGCATTGTGGGCAGAGGGGCGGGGGTTGGGAAGATGGCGGCTCCCAGCCTCCTCAACTGGAGGCGGGTTTCCTCCTTCACGGGGCCGGTACCCCGCGCCCGGCACGGACACCGGGCCGTGGCCATCCGGGAGCTGATGATCATCTTTGGAGGGGGCAACGAGGGCATCGCGGACGAGCTGCACGTCTACAACACGGGTAGGCGCGGCAGCGGCTCTACGGCCCCGCCTGTGGGAGCCGCGGAGGGGGAGGGGAGGCGAGGCGGCGGCCGAGGCCCTGACAGCTGTCACCGCCGGGTCACTGCCTCTTCGGGCGGGCAGCTGGGAGTGTGGCTCGGCCGGGCTGCCGGGGTTCCGCAATGTCTTTGGTGGCAGCTCCGTTTCCCCAGGGCCCGCGGGGCGCGCCGGCCCTCAGGCAGGCGCTCCCGGACCCTCCTCCCCAGCCCTGCGGGCGGACGTAGGCAAGAGAGAGACCATTTCCACCCGCCAGGGCCTCTTCCCGAAGTCTTTCCCACTCCGGGGGTCCGAGATCCCTCCCCTGTCAAAAACCAAAAACTGCTCCAAACCCAAGCTGCTCCGGGCCATTCTCGTCTTTGCCTGCGGTCTTTCCTTAGGAGGAAACGAATCGGGGCGGGGTGGGGGGGAGGGCTGAGGGGTGGTGAGGAGGGAAAATGAAAGGCCTGGTACTTTCACCCCAAATACAACCCCGTATCTGGCAGGTGGCAGTCAAGATATTTACCCCACTGGTAACCCTCTTAACTGGCGGGGAAGTGGTTCGTTGGTGAGACCGGCGCTTGTCTCTGCATAGTTGGGTGTGTGTGCTGAAGCTGGGCTGTGCAGCGCTCTCGGAAAGAAGACTGTCAGCTTGAGGCACCGCTACAAATCACAAGTGCCCCTGGCTGGGGAGGCCCTGCCTTTGCCTCGGGATAGAAAGGAGGGTGGAATTTCATTTTCCCCAACTTGTAAATGCGCCGGCTATCAAGAGGCAGCGGTTTCCTTGGTGTAAAGCTAATTAGTGAATTTTGGGTCTGTGTCATGATCAATGACTTTGACCAAATAACTTATCATAGTGTTCATTTTAAGGTTAATAAAATAGTGGCGTAGGAGAAATTTCGTTTTTTCATCCTCTCCTCTTGGCACTCTAATTATATAGTTTGAAAGTTACTTGACAATTTGGTATAGTGTAAAAACCCTGGCTTTAGAATAAGTTAGACCTAGTTTGAATTTTGCTCTGCCAGTTGCCCAGGGTCAGCGCTGAAGTTACCTAACTAAAATTCAGATTTTCACTTGGAAAATAGAGATGATGATATTCAACAAGTAGGGTTTTGGTAAGAATTAAATTAGATCAGGATTTTTCAACAGGTATTGCCACTTTGAACCAGAGAATTATTTGTTGTAAGAGCAGGCACTGTATATTGTAAGGTGTTTGGCAGCATCTCTAGTCTCTACCCACTAGTTGCCAATAGCATCTCTCCCCTCCCTCCAGTTAGACAACTACACATTTTTAGTTTGCTCCTGGGAGCAAAGTCATCTCCAATTGCTCCAGCGGGCAAAGTCATCTCCAATCTCCAATAACCACGGATACACGTGGTAAATATAAAGTAAATACTCATAGTTTGTGATAACTGTTTATTATAATTGGTTTTAATTTTATTTTGGCAACTAGTTACAAATCAGTGGTTCCTACCTGCTGTTAGAGGAGACATCCCTCCAGGTTGCGCTGCCCATGGATTTGTCTGTGATGGTACCAGAATACTAGTATTTGGGGGAATGGTTGAATATGGAAGATACAGCAATGAGTTATATGAGTTGCAAGTAAGTATATTTCAAATTTATCTCAATCTGCAGCTTTAATAATGATATTACTCCTAATTCTTTGAAAGATTGCAAAATATTTCATTACATATTTAAAATAGTATGAGCTTCACATTTTATAGCTTCAAGGAAAATGTTTCCCCTTCACTAAAAAGCCAGAGTTTCTAATGTAAGTCTTTTTTCAATACCCAGTGTAACAGTTGTAACATTAAGATATCTGTTACTTAGCATCAGTTATATATGTTACACGTTTAGGTTTTTGTATCTTAGTTCTTCAATTTTAGCAGCAACAGAAGCATCTGAGGGCTTATGAAAACACAGATTGCTGGGCCCTGCCCCCAGAGTTTCTGAATCAGTATTGTCTGGTGTGGGGCCTCACCCCTGGCATTCCTTCCAAGTTCCCATGTGCTGATGCTGGTCCCCAGACCACACTTTGCAAACCTCTGCCTTTGTTATAGAGATTGTTACCCTCACACTAATAAACACAACCCTTCCCCCCCCCCCGCAATACATACAAAAAGAGTGTACAGTTTCATATGTCCTTTGTAAATTTGATTCTGTTAAACCACACTCAGAGCCCTCTCTTACAGCCCTTAAATGACTTTTATTTCTGAACTGTGCATATGTTCACAGGGTTGTTATCATGAGGACATCTGCTAATTGACAGGTATAGGTGAATTATACCTATTCATAAACAAATAGTTTTAGATAAATAGAGCATCCATAGCCAGAGCATAAGTTTTGGAGTTTGGTTTGTTAAATGATCTTTATTTATGCTTATTTAAAGGTTGAAATACAAACTATCTATGGATTACCTAATTTCAGAAAGTAAGAATATATAAATTTCATTTAATCTTAAAGCTATGTATATTTAGTTTTTCATTTGGAAAATATTTTTGAATTACTGGTGTTTATTATTATGAGCTTTGGTTGCTGTTGAGGAAAGCTGTGAATATGCAAGACTAGACTGACTTTCTTTCTTTCCTTTTTTTGGGTGGGGACAGAGGGGCAGAGGGAGAGGAAGAGAGAATCTTGAGCAGGCTCCACACTGGGCCCTCATGCCCCTGAGCTGAAATCAAGAGTTGGACTCTTAACCGACTGAGCCACCCAGGTGCCCCAGGAAGACTAGACTGAATTTCTGTTACAGTGTTTATTTTAGTTCCAGAAATTACCTGTTTACTTGTCATTTGTCCCTAGAATAGCTTATTGGAACCTTCTGATTGGATTTCGATTATAATGTATTGGTACAATGTTATACTATGGACAATATAGGAATGCTTTCTTGATATTGTCTGACTGTATTTATGCTCTTTTTTAGGCAAGTCGTTGGTTATGGAAAAAAGTGAAACCCCACCCCCCTTCTTCCGGTTTACCTCCTTGTCCTCGGCTTGGACATAGCTTCTCTTTATATGGTAACAAATGCTATTTGTTTGGTGGTCTGGCAAATGAAAGTGAAGATTCAAACAATAATGTTCCCAGGTATGCTGATTCTTTTTTGGACCAAATGTTTATTTTATGACTTAGATTAAGAACATTTAATTTCTACCATTTTCAGTTATTAAAAGGAACGAAACTTAGCCTTTTACATTTACCTAACAATGAACAAATTTGTGTGCAATTGTATTTTCCTTAGTCCCTGGAATATATGTTTTCAAAACTATGCCTTTTCTAATCAGAAATGATCTCATTAAATGATATTAATATAACTGCTTATAGCAACCTATTTGAATATATTGGGCCATAATGTATTTCACTTGTCATAAATGATGAACAAAAAGTAACAAATGGTTGTTTTCAAATTAGATGCCTCTGAGAATTTGGTGACAAAAATCTCACTATAAAATGAAGTATCCACTTTTCATAGAGGAAGCTGTTACAGTGGTTCACACAAGCAAATACTTTTTGAACCAACTGTCTCCTTTTTCCAAACGGAACTAATCACTACCTCATTTTTTTTTTTTTTTTTTTTTTTGCATAGTGTTTTGATCACATTGTCATAGAACTCAGGATTTGGAGATTTAGAGTCCAAAAGACAGTTTTCTGATTCACTGCTTACCATGTGTGTCCTTTAGTGGAAGTAATCTAATCCTGTTTTCCTTGACTGTGAAATGGAAGTGATTAAATATCTACGTTTCAGTGTCATTCTGATGGCTAAATAAGAACGTTGGCATCATTTTCAAAGTACCTGCAGGTTGCCATCACTATAGTACTTACATTACATTGATGTTAGAGTGTTAGCTTTTTTGTCTTTTCCAAGCTTTAAAAAATGTCACATACTAAAACATCATGGTAAACTTAGAAACTGGAGAAAAGGAAAAAAATTTATCCCACCATACTAATCCAGATACTTTTACTTCTTGCACATGTCTTTTTCATTTTTACATTAAACAGGTTTTTTAGATACAGACTTGTAAAAGTACAAGAAATTAGAAAGTATATGAAGTTCTTTGTTACAGCATCACTGTCCTCCAACACAGGCAAACACATAATTCAGTTTGATATGTATCTTTTAGAACCTTTCTCATGTAACATATATTAGTCAGCTTTTTTTTAGGTTATTGTATATAATGGGCAAGCTTCTCAAGTTTATGCTGCTTGAGGGAGCAAATAGATAGATGCAGTGCTTTTGAAAGCCTCTGGTTAAAACTAGCAGATTCATTTCTGTTCACATTCCATTTTGGTCTGCAATCCAGGACTGAGTGTTCTGCCCAGCAGGAGAGGGGAGGTGGGGAAGGTTGATCTGATCCTACACAGACATGTATTCTCTTTTATGGAATTGGGATCTTTCTTTTTGCTTTGCAACTTTGGGTGTTTACCTGTTTGTTTTTGTTGTTTGTTTTTCCTTTAACAGTGTGTCTTTGAGATCTTTTAGGGCAGTAGATAAAAATTGACCTTATTTTTTTTTTTTAATGGCTGAAAAGTAGTCTGAATTATGCAAATTACTTAATCATTCCCCTACTGGTAGACATTTAAATATTTCCACTTTTTTGCTATTACAGTCTTTGCACACGTATAACTATTTTGTTTCTGTTGTTTTTGTTTTTTTAGAGAGAGAAAGTGCGAGTGAGAGTTGGGGGGGGTTGGGCAGAGAGAGAGGGAGAGAGAATCATCAGCAGGCTCCATGCATAGCGTGGAGCTGGTCACAGGGCTTGATCTCATGATCCTGAGATCATGACCTGAGCCGAAATCAAAAGTCACATGCTTAAAGACTGAGCAACCCAGGCGCCCCAATTTTTGTAGGATTCATACTTGTAAATGGAATCGGTGGGAGGGAGGTCAAGGGTATTTACATTCAAGTTTGTTAGATATTCCTGAATCAACTTCCAAAGAGACAACCATTTTATATTCCTAATAACAGTGTACAGGACTACCTACACCCTTAACAATATTGAATTGTCTCACTCTTCTTAGTTTTTGCCAAACTAATAGGTGAAATGCATTTCATGAATTTATTTTGATTTTTTAAAAACTGGTAATGAGGGGTGCCTGGGTGGCTCCAATGGTTAAGCGTCTGCCTTTGGCTCAGGTCATGATCCCAGGGTCCTGGGATCAAACCCCGCATTAGGCTCCCTGCTCAGCGGGGAGCCTACTTCTCCCTCTTCTTCTACTGCTCCCCCTATTTGTTCTCTCTCACTCTCTCTGTCAAATAAATAAATAAAATGTTAAAAAAAAAAACTGGTAATGACTGGGGCATATGGGTGGCTCAGGTAGTTGTGTCCGACTCTTGATTTTGGCTCTGGTCATGATTTCAGGGTCATGAGATCCAGCCCCATGTTGGGCTGCAGACTCAGTGCAGAGTCTGCTTGTCCTCTCCTACCCCCTCTACTCCTCCCCACCCGTGTGCATGTGCACTCTTGTTCTCTATCTAATATAAATAAATAAATAAAATCTTTTAAAAAAAACTGGCAATGAGCTTGATTAACTATGCTTATTGGACATTTGCAATTCCTTTTCTGAAATTGTTCATATCTTTTTCATTTTTCCTTTTTAAATAATTAGAGTATAAATTATATACCATAAAATTCATCCTTTTTATACATACAATTCAATGATTTTAGTCAATTTACTGTGTTGTGTATCCATCACCATTATTCATATTTTTCCAAGTCTTTTGTTTGTCTTTTTTAAAAGGGTTTTCATTTTTGTTTTACCGGGTTTGACAATATTTTTCTTTTATTGCTTTCTGCTTAGGAAGATTCTTCTACCCCACAACTATCTCATACATTCACAGCTTTATGTTTAAAATATTATGTGTTTAAAATATTAATAGATTTAGAATATATTTTTGTGACTAGTATGAGGATTTTTACTGTTCCTAATGGATTTCCAATTCTCCACCACCATTTATTAAATAAGCCATTTTTTTCCTCACTGATTTGAAGTCCCATCTCTATCATATCTTAAGCCTCATATAAATGAGTCTTTTTCTAGCCTTTCAGGACCAGGGGTTATGAACTACACTCTGTGGGACAAATTTGGCCTGCTAGCTACCTGTCTTTGTTAATAAAGTTTTATTGAAACACAGCCATGCCCATTCATTTACATGTTGTCTCTGGCTGCTTTCATATTAAAAGAGCAAAGTTGAGGGGTGCCTGGGTGGCTCAGTCAGTTAAGTGGCTGCCTTTGGCTCAGGTCATGATCCCAGGTCCTGGGATCAAGGCCCACGTTGGGCTACCTGCTCCATGGGCAGCCTACTTCTCCCTCTCCACCACTTGTGCTCTCTCATGCTCTCTTTCTCTCTCAAATAAATAAATAAATAAAATCTTAAAAAAAAAAAGAAAGGAGCAGAGTTGAGTAGTTGCGACAGACCTTATAGCTTCCATAGCCTAAAATATTTACTGTCTAGCTTTTTACAGAACAACTCTTGTTCAAGACTCTATTCTGTTTCATTAATATATTTACCTTTCTATCATTAATTGTGATGTTTGCTATAGGTTTCTAGTATTTGCTTTATCAGATTAAGGAAGTTTTTAAAAATTTCTAGTTTGCTGATTAGTTTTTTTCTCTCTTTTTAACCAAAAATGGATGTTCATATTCATTTCAGACATAGAAATGAATTGTTTCTTTGCTTTTACCCATTAATTGTGTGAATTATATTATTAGGTTCTGAAATATAAGCCATCTTTTTATTTGTAGTTAAACCCCAGTTTGTTGCATTACAGTGTTCTTTTCATACTTTGCCGAATTAATTTTGCTAACATTTATTTATATTATCTATAGTCACTAGTGATTTTTCCTCTATTGACTTTATTTGGGGTAGTGGGGTCCTATTCTAATCTGATTTGAGTATCAGGATTCTGTTATTCCTGGGAACATAATCAGGGCTGTGTTCTGAGGTTATGGGAAGCTTTCCATCTTTTATTATGCTTAAATAACATAATTTTTGAATAGTAGAAATTTCCCATAGTTGTCTGAGATTGGTATAATTTAGGAAGATGATCTTTGCCTACCTTTTCAATATCTCTTATAGTTATGGATCTATTTATATTTTCTACTTTCTCTTGAATCATTTGGTAATTTATGTTTTCCTTGAACAATCACCCATTTCATTTAGATTTTTACATTTTTTGATAAAAATTATAATACAATTCTCTGTATATCTTTAGAATCTCTGTATCTGTAGTCACATCTCTTTTCTCATTTATAAATGTGTATGTTGTCTTTTCTCTAATCAGACTTGTGAGTGGTTTGGTGGTTTCAAAGAACCATTTTTTAGTTTTATTGATTTATTTTTGTTTTTCACTTGTTTTCTTTATTCCATTTCTTTAAATTTTTCCTTTTTTCTCCTATCAAGTACTAACCAGGCCTGACTCTGCTTAGCTTCTGAGATCAGACGAGATCAGGCACATTCAGGGTGGTATGGCCGTAGACTCATTTTTTCCTTTTTTCTAACTTCTTTTAAACTTTTAATAGTTTTGGTACCTTTTCTAACTTTTTTGTAACTTCTAGTAATTTGAGTGCCTATTAGTTCATTTGTTTTCAGTGTTATTTTCTAATAAATGCTACACATTTTCCTCTGATTATGGCTTTGGCCATAGGTTTTGGTAAATAGTGCTCTTATTGTCATTATTTTTTATTTTCTCTTTAACCCAAAAATAATTTGGCATAAATTTGTAAAAATTTCCAAATGGAAAGTTTTGTTATTGTTGCTAATATGTAGCTTTATTATATTGTGTTAAAAAATATGTGGTCTATGGGGTTTCTCCTTTTTGGAGATTGTCTTTGTGGTGTATGTCAATCCATTTTTGTGATTATTCCATAGGTGTTCATAAAGATTGTAAGTTCTTGGTTGTTTGGGTACAAGGTTCTTTTATTAAATCACTGTTTTAAACTATTATTTGAAGCTTTTTTATTTTGTGAGTCTAGATCATATCAACTTCTGAATGACATGTTAAAATCTTCCAGTGTGATTGTGAATTTATTGTTTCTTGTATATCTACTTTTCAATCCATGTGTATTATTTTGTTGTAGACTTATCTTTTGTAAATAGGACTAACAGTTGACCAGTATGAACTGGTATAGCTTACTGGTTGGCCTCCATTCTGATCTGTGGAAGTCTATGCCACATCAGTTGTCAAATAGTTTTGATATTATCATTGCTGTTAATTGCTTATAGCTGGTTTCAGGGTTTTTTAAATTTTTTTTATTTTTAGATTTTATTAGAGAGAGAATGAGTGGGGGGAGGGTCAGTGGGAGAAGCAGACTCCTTGTGGAGCAGGGAGCTGGATGTGGGACTTGATCCCAGGTCCCTGATATCATGACCTGAGCTGAAGGCAGACACTTAACGAACTGAGCCACCCAGGCACCCTGGTTTCAGGGTTCTTTTTTTTTAATTTAATTTTATTATGTTATGTTAGTCACCATACAATACATCATTAGTTTTTGATGTGGTGATTCACAATTCATTGTTTTCGTATAACACCCAGTGCTCCATGCAGAATGTGCCCTCCTTAATACCCATCACCGGGCTAACCCATCCCCCCACCCCCTCCCCTCTAGAACCCTCAGTTTGTTTCTCAGAGTCCAGAGTCTCTCATGGTTCATCTCTCCCTCCGATTCCCCCCCCCTTCATTTTTCCCTTCCTTCTCCTAGTGTCCTCCATGCTGTTCCTTATGTTCCACAAATAAATGAAACCGTATGATAATTGACTTTCTCTGTTTCACTTATTTCACTTAGCATAATCTCCTCCAGTCCCATCCATGTTGATGTAAAAGTTGGATATTCATCCTTTCTGATGGCTGAGTAATATTCCATTGTATATATGGACCACATCTTCTTTATCCATTCATCTGTTGAAGGGCATCTCGGCTCTTTCCACAGGTTGGCTATTGCGGACACTGCTGCTATGAACATTGGGGTGCATATGGCCCTTCTTTTCACTACATCTGTGTCTTTGGGGTAAATAGCCAGGAGTGCAATTGCTGGGTCATAAGATAGCTCTATATTTAATTTTTTGAGGCACCTCCACACTGTTTTCTAAAGTGGCTGTACCCACTTGCATTCCCACCAACAGTGTAAGACGGTTCCCCTTTCTCCACAACCTCTCCAACATTTGTTGTTTCTTGTCCTGTCAATTTTTGCCATTCTAACTGGTATAAGGTGGTATCTCATGTGGTTTTGATTTGAATTTCCCTGATGGCTAGTGATGATGAACATTTTTTCATGTGTCTGTTAGCCATTTGTCTTCTTCAGAGAAGTGTCTATTCATGTCTTCTGCCCATTTTTTGACTTGATTATTTGTTTTTTGGGTGTTGAGTTTGAGAAGTTCTTTATAGATCTTGGATACCAGCCCTTTATCTGTAGTGTCATTTGCAAATGTCTTCTCCCATTCTGTGGGTTGCCTCTTTGTTGTGTTGACTGTTTCCTTTGCTGTGTAGAAGCTTTGTATCTTGATGAAGTCCCAAAAGTTCATTTTTGCTTTTGTTTCACTAGCTTTTGGAGATGTATTGAAAGAAGTTGCTGTGGCTGATGTCAAAGAGGTTATTGCCTATGTTCTCCTCCAGGATTTTGATGGATTCCTGTCTCACATTGAGGTCTTTCATCCATTTTGAGTTTATCTTTATGTATGGTGTTAGAGAATGGTCCAGTTTCATTCTTCTGCATGTGGCTGTCCCATTTTGCCAGCACCATTTATTGAAGAGACTATCTTTCTTCCAATGCATATTTTTTCCTGCTTTGTCAAAGATTATTTGACCATAGAGTTGAAGGTCCATATCTGGGCACTCTATCCTGTTCCACTGGTCTATGTCTGTTTTTGTGCCAGTACCGTGCTGTCTTGGTGATCACTGCTTTGTAATATAGCTTGAAATCAGGCAACATGATGCCCCCAACTTTGTTCTTTTCTTTTCTTTTTTTTTTTTAATTTTTATTTATTTATTTGACAGAGAGAGACAGCAAGAGAGGGAACACGAGCAGGGGGAGTGGGAGAGGGAGAAGCAAGCTTCCCACTGAGCAGGGAGCCCGATGCAGGGCTCCATCCCAGGACCCTGGGACCATGACCTGAGCCGAAGGCAGACGCTTAATGACTGAGACACCCAGGCGCTCCTTATTTTCTTTTTCTTACAGACTTCCTGCCCCCAAGAGACTTTGTCCCCTAATAGAGAAGTTTTTCCTACCTTTGTATTTTATGTTTTCCATTTATTCTGCTTGTTGTTGCTTCTCCACCCCCAGCCCCCTGCCTTTGCTAGATTTTTAAAAATCATAGCAAGGTTGAACATTTGTGTATATATGTGTATGTGTGTTTGTTTATCTGTGTCTCTGTGTGTGTACATACACATTTATACAATTTTTATTTCTCATTCTGTGAACTGTCAGTTTATGTCCTTTTATTTGTATCTGTTGTGTGGTTATAATCTTGATCTTGTAGGAAAATTTTACATTAAGAAAATTTTATCTTTTTCTGTGTTGTGTACCAAATTTCTTTTCATAGTTTATCTTTCTTTTGACATTGTTTTGTAGTGTTTTTTTCCCCTAACCATCTTATTAACTGCTTTCAATAGACTATGCTTTGCTTATTTTTCCTTTTCCTTACTTTTTCTTGATTTACTGTTTTTTTCTTTCCTTCTAAAGATTTGAAAGTTACACATGCTAATTCTGTGCTTGCCTTAGTTGCTCAGAAATTATTACATACATGTAAACTGAAAGGATCTTGTCATCTTTGAGAATAGATTACTGTCTTTACCTTCCTTTGCTTTTCCCGTATTTTCCATGTATTCTTGAATCCTATTCCAGATTATAATAATGCTAATAAGTTAGTTTTTTGGTCAGTCTTTCTTAGTGATTATTTAGATCTCACAACCATACTTTTAAATGTCAATTTAGGGGCACCTGGGTGGTTCAGTCAGTTAAGCGTCTGCCTTCGGCTCAGGTCATGATCCCGGGGTCCTGGGATTGAGCCCCGCATCAGCCTGCTTCTCCTTCTCCCTCTGCCTGCCACTCCCCCTGCTTGTGTGTTCTCTCTCTCTGTCAAATAAATGAATTTTTAAAAATCTTAAAAAATAAACATCAGTTTAAGTATATTATAAATTACTGGTTTCTTTGTACTACCATTTCTCTTATTCAGTGTATTTTTCCTGGATTTCTTACTTTTCTGGAATAACATCTAGAATTGTTTTTTCCCAAAACAATTTTATGGCTAAACTTTGAAGTTTTTTTGTTTTTTTTTTAAGATTTATTTATTTGGTGGGGAAGGGGCAGAGGGAGAGAGAGTCTCAAGCAGGCTCTGTGCTGAGCACAGAGGCCAATGCAGACCCGATCCCACGACCCTGAGATCATAACCTGAGCTGAAATCAGGAATTGGATGCTTAACCAACTGTGCCACCCAGGAGCCCCTAAACTTTGAAGTTTTATATGTCCTAAAGTGTTTTAATTTTGCTCTCATACTTGAGTAATAATTTGATAGGAAATATATTCCTATAAAAGTCATTTTGCTCAAAGCATTGAAAACATCATGTCACAGATGAAAAGTTTAATACCAGTTTGTAGAGTTTAAAAAAAAAAAAAGCTATGTAGGGCACTGCTATCACATTATAGAGTGAAAGTTTTAAAAGAAAAAAAGTTGGAAAGCAACATTTGTAATATGTCTCATTTATACATATGTGGATCTTCAGAGGTCAGAAAGGGTATTTACCAATTATTGCCAATAGTGATTGTCCTGATTATCTAGTACCATGTAATAAACTCCTCCAAAAGTTAGCAATGCAAAATAACAACCATTTATTATGTTCAGGGATTCTCTGCGTCAGGAATTCAGACAGGACACACCAGTGATGGCTAGGCCCTGAGATGGGAAGGCTTGAATGGCCGCTCCCATATCTCGTGCCTCCACTGGGATGACTGAAGGATGGACTGAACTGGGGCCGTCCTCCTACATGCCTGTATGTGCTGCTCCACATGGGGGTTTTGTGGACTTATATGGTGCTTCAGGATTCCAAAACAAGTGTTCTGTACTGAAGCTGCATTAGCCTTCTGTGACCAAGCCTCGGAAGTCACTCAGTGTCATTTCACCATACTCTAGTTGAAGCAGTCACGGGCTTACCCAGAATTGTGAGTGGGGACCAACATGTAGATCCTACGGCCTGATGGGAAGAGTGTCAGAATTTGCAGCTATGTTTTGAAACAATCACAGTTGTTGTGGACAAGAGTGTTGGTTAAATGATGGCAGGAATTTTTTAAAAATCTCTTCTGTTCATTACTGATCCCCAGAAGAGTACTTGATACACAGTAGTAGTTGATAATTACATGTTAAAAGAATGAGTAATGGGGTTTTTGCTCTCCTAATGCTTTTTGGTAGTAAATGAATTTTTTACAGTAAGCATAGATTATCTTTATAAATAGAAACAAAAATCAAATAAAAGGTATATGTTATATTAATGTTTTCATTTATTTCATGATATCCTAGATATTTGAATGATTTCTATGAGTTGGAACTACAGCATGGTTCTGGTGTTGTGGGTTGGAGCATTCCAATGACTAAAGGAATTGTGCCTTCTCCAAGAGAATCCCACACAGCTGTCATATATTGCAAAAAAGATTCTGGAAGTCCTAAAATGTATGTCTTTGGTGGAATGTGTGGTGCTCGCTTGGATGATCTATGGCAGCTTGATTTAGGTAAGCTTACTTGATTCGGGCTCAGGAATTGGTTATGATTGATAAAGGCAAATGTAAAAATTGCTTTTGAAAAATATTTTTGGCTACAGCATTTATTGAGTTACAGTTAGATTTATAGAAGGCACTTGTAGCCAGCTCTGGGACAGCCAAGATGTGATGCAAATGGTGGCTGATCAATGAAGTTAAACAGATGAATGTTTGATTTATGATAGTAACTTTCCTGTGCTCCTTATAAATAGGGTCACCATATGTCATGGTTTGCCTGAGAGGGCCCTGATTTTTGCTTATTGTCCTGTGTAATTATCAATAGTACCAGTTATCACTCTGTAAAGTGTCCCACTTGGGGATGATCAAATTTATATGGTTACTTTGTCCACAGGAAATGTAGCATTAGTAACGTTATTGCTGGTCAGTGAAAAAACCATGGCTAGCTCTTTTTAAGGGGATCCTAGGAGTGAGTGAATGGAGGGTAGGTGTGCCTTTTTCACTTTTGACTATCTTCTACACAATGTCTTCTTACTTAAAATGTTAAAACCCCTAATCTGGTTTTAATCCAAAATTGGTGGCACCCTAAATACACTTCTCCATTACAAATGCTAACATTCAAGTATAAATAGATTACTGTAATTGGCTATTTATGTCAGCTGGAAATGTTTATTTTAAGATGAAGTTCAAGTAATGGTTTTGAAACATTTTTGCTTCTTTTTGGTAAGTCCTTTTTTGTTTTTTTTAAATTCTGCAAGGTGAGGTAATTTACTATTATTAAACCAAATTGCTAATATACTTATTTTTACTTCTAGAAACTATGTCTTGGTCAAAACCAGAAACTAAAGGGACAGTGCCACTCCCACGAAGCCTTCACACAGCCAGTGTTATAGGAAACAAGTATGGTGTTTTTTTTTTTTTTTCACTTTTTTTTTTAAAGCAACTTAAGAAAGATAGAAAGAAGAGTGGTGCTACCAATTACTCGGAAATAGATTATTGAATTTAACAATGATTATGTTTACTAAAGCTAAAATAATAAGCCTATAGAAGCTAAAATACTGTTCCATTTTCTTATCCTGCTGCCTCTTACATTTCTGTACGTTTCTTACAGTGCCTTGCACAGAGTAGGTATTACATAAGTGTGAGGCAGAGTGTTGTCACACTGACTGGGTTCCATTGCCAGGTTTGACACACCTAACTCAGTGTTTTGTCTTACTTATTTTTGGTAGCGCTTGATTTATACTCAGGTATGTACTCAGTATGTATGCTCAATGACTGAACTTTGAATAGAGTTATGGTTAGAACATGAACTCTCACCAGATTGCATGAATTCAAGTCTTCCGTTTTGGTACTTGTCATTTATGACCTGGGGCAAGGAAATTTAATCTGTCTGTACCTCAATTTCCTCACATATAAAATGCAGATAATAAAACCTATTTCACAAGGTTGTCTTGAGGATTAAATGGATTAATACATATGAAATTCTTCAAACAGTGCTTGGTACATAAATGGCACTCCATAAAAGTTAGCTATTACTATCATCAACAAGTTCCCTTATTTGTGCATTATTGTATAAATAGAAATTAATTATTTTCTTTGTGGAGGAACTTTTTCTTATAAATAATGTTTTAGGAAACAACTAGAACGTCATTAGTTCTTTTTTTAAAAAATAGCCATAAATAAAATCTAATAAGGTATACTCTTTTAGAATATCAAGACCCTTTTATAAAATGTGGTTTTCCATTGGAACTTTAATATATAAAATAGAAAAATCGAGCTTGTTTGGTTGGCATGAGGTCACATGGGCCCTAAGCGCTGCCTGATGAACCTTTCTCCTTCAGCAGCTATTAGGCATGTCTCAAGAACCCTTAGGGCCCTGAGGGACATAGTTTAAAGTTTTTTATTTGAGTGGTATCAGTGACCAAAGTTATAAGAAACTTAATCCTCTTTGGTTACTGTATGCATACAACTCTGAATTTGATTTTGGGTGTCATAGATCATTTGACTATCTTTCTGACTGAGGTACACTTAGTATATTATATATAATACTGATTTTCAAATGTATTTTAAGTGAAATATTCCCCACAATATTCTCACTTGCCAGAGAGAAGTAATTTGATTCTGTATTGCTTCATGAAATTGTAAACTCTTCAGAGAAGACCACTTTATTCATTATCTTATTCCCATTACCATGATCATGATAAGTAAGTGAATAGTCCCAAAGCTTTGAGTCAACAACTAAGAAATTTAAGTCTATTCTTAGCATTTTGAATCTAAAAAAAAAAAAAAATTAAAGCTTTAGAAAAAAAAATCAACCACTTTATGCTCTCTTTTTGTTTTTCAGGATGTACATTTTTGGTGGATGGGTTCCACATAAGGGGGAGAATATTGAGACTTCACCTCATGATTGTGAATGGAGATGTACTAGTTCATTTTCTTACCTAAATCTCGGTGAGTCTTGTAAGAGTGAGTTACCGAAATAAAATGTATTAATAAAAGAATTTTTGTTGTTTAAGAACAATATAGTAGTCATGGATATTTCTATCTTTTAGATACAGCAGAGTGGACCACCCTAGTATCAGATTCTCAGGAAGATAAAAAAAATTCAAGACCAAGACCAAGAGCTGGACACTGTGCTGTTGCGATTGGCACTCGATTGTATTTTTGGAGTGGAAGAGACGGCTACAAAAAAGCACTGAATAGTCAAGTTTGCTGCAAGGATCTTTGGTATCTTGATACTGGTAGGTAAGAGTATTCAACAAATATAATTTTTCCTTCAGGTAAATAAATGCTTGAGTACTACCTGTCTCTTGAGATTTAGTGTAAATGCCACTGCCTCTCTTTTCCATAATTAAAAATGAGTGGAGGGGCACCTGGGTGGCTCAGTCGGTTAAGCAGCTGCCTTCGGCCCAGGTCATGATCCCAGGGTCCTGGGATCAAGCCCCGCATCAGCCTCTGTGCTCAGCAGGAAACCTGCTTCTCCCTCTCCCACTCCCCTTACTTGTGTTCCCTCTCTCTCTGTCTCTCCCTCTCTCTCTCTCAAATAAATAAAATCTTTAAAAAAAAATGAGTGGAAGAAATATTATACGTAGATACTTCCTACTCCAGGAGAATTTCCTTCTTTTTTTTCCAGGAGAGTTTCTTTTTCTTTTTTTTTAAGATTTTTTATTTTATTATTTATTTGGCAGAGAGAGAGACAGCGAAAGAAGGAACACAAGGAGGGGGAGTGGGAGAGGGAGAAGCCGGCTTCCCACCAAGCAGGGAGCCCGATGCAGGGCTTGATCCCAGGACCATGGGATCATGACCTGAGCCGAAGGCAGATGCTTAACGACTGAGCCACCCAGGTGCCCCACCAGGAGAGTTTCTTAATTTCCCTGTCCTTGAGTATAGACTGGATTTAGTGACTCCCTTCCAAAGCACAGAATATGGAAAGGGACCAATAGTAGCTTAACAGTGGAGAAACCTGGAAAACACCATCTTAATCAAGTAATCAATGTTAATAGCACTAGTGATAGTCATGTTGAATCATTTATCCCTGCCTCTCATATCATGTGATAAGAAGAAACTTCACCTCTGAAGGTGAAGTTTTCTATGCAAAACCCGTAATCTCATTCTAACCCTGAGAACATTACCAACAAACCCAAATTGAGGGACGTCCTAGACATTCTATGTGAACAGTGCTCTTCAAAAATTTCGAAGTGGTGGAAAACAAGGAAAGTGAGGGGCGCCTGGGTGGCTCAGTCAGTTAAGCATCTGCTTTCGGCTCTGGTCACGATCTCAGGGTCCTGGGATCCAGGCCTGCATTGGGGTCCCTGCTTCTCCCTCTCCCTCTGTGATCTCTTGCTTTTGCTCTCTCTCAAATAAAGGAATAAAATCTTTAAAAAAAACAAAAAACAAGGAAAGTGAGAAATAGTCACAAATCGGAGGAGACTGAGGAGGAGACACGAAGACTAAATGCAGGGTGGTACCCTAAATTGGATTGGAACCAAAAAAAAACACAAACTGGTGAAATCCAAGTAGTCTGTAGTTTATAGTATCGTTCCAGTGTTAATTTCTTAGTTTTAACAAATATGTTAGCATTAAGGGAAACAGTAAAGCGTATATGGGAACTCTGCATTTTTTCTGTAAGTCTAAGAGTATTCCAAAATAAAAAGGTTTTTTAAAAAGATTTATTTATTTGGGATGCCTGGGTGGCTCAGTCGTTAAGTGTCTGCCTTCGGCTTGGGTCATGGTCCCAGGGTCCTGGGATCAGGCCCTGCATCAGGCTCCCTGCTTGGTGGGAGGCCTGCTTCTCCCTCTCCCACTCCCCCTGCTTGTGTTCCTGCTCTCGCTGTCTCTGTCAAATAAATAAAATCTTAAAAAAAAAAAAAAGATGTATTTATTTTTAGAGAGAGAGAGAGCACATGAGAGAGCATGGGAGTGGGACAGGGAGAGGGAGAGAGAAAATCCCAAGCAGTCTCCCGGGAGCATGGAACCCAAGGTGTGGGGCTCAATCCCACAACCCTAAGATCACGACCTGAGCCAAAATCAAGAGGCAGATGCCCAACCAACTGAGCCACCCAGGTGCTCCTAAAAAGATTTTATAAAAGTATTACAACACTAAAAATTTTAAAATATGGAACTCATCCATTTTTTAATAAATATTTATTAATTGACACCTGTCTATCAGGAATTGTTCTGAATTGTTTTACATGCTGAGAAGTGAAATGCTACAGCAGTGAAAGGGACTGATAATGTCCCTAATGTCAAAGAATTTATATTCTTAGTATGAGGACAGAGGGATGACGGGCACTAATCAGACAAATTAACAAAATAAGTTCCATTTCTGGTAAGCGTGTGAAGATAGTAAGATAGACCAGCGGGATAGTGATGGGAGGGACTGGAATGGGAAAGTGGGGTTAACGTCAGAGTGGCTAGTTAGAAAAATATGTGATGGCATTTGGGATATAATCCCAATGGAGAGAAGATGCTATCCATGGAAAAGGCTAGGGGAGAAACACTGTAGCAAGAGTGAACAGCAAGTACAAGGGCCCTGAGATAGGAATACTTGGCACATTTGGGAACAGATTTGAGCTGAATGGAAAGGAGAGCATAGGAATGGAGGTTAGAGAAGTGACAGCAGGACAGATCATGTAAGGCCTTGCACATCATGGTAGAGGTTAGCTTGTTTATAAAGTACAAGGGTAGTTTATTAGTTGGAAGGAGAGATCTGATGTACATTTTGGAATGGGCACTGCAGTTGTGTAGAATATAAATTGTAGGTGGGCAAAAGTACACACAGGGAGACCAGTTAGGAGGCTTTCACAGGAATCAGAGAAGTCTTAGACTACAGTGGTGCCAGTAGAGATGGGGAGAAGTGGATGAATTCTGGATATGTTTTGGAGTTCTTGTTGACAGAACTGGCTGATGAACTGGGTATGGCATGTGGCACAAAGAGAGGAATGGAGGATGAAGTTTTTAGCTTGAATAATTTGGTGGTATTTCCATTTACTTGGTTGGGGAAGACTGAGGAGAAAACCAGTTTGTGGAGAAAATTAAGATTTCATTTAGACTATGCTAAGTTTGAAATAAGGAGATCAAATACGTAGCTGATAATAAAGAAATCTGGAGGTCAGTCAAGAAATCAGATCTGGAGATGTATGTTGTTACAGGAGAAAAGCAGATTATAAAACATACCTATGATTCCAGTTTCTTTTAAGTATATAAACAAAAATCTGGAAGGATACATTGTGTACCAAAGTGTTATCTAAAAGGTGAGATTCAACATTTTCTGAAAGGTTTTTCTGTCATCTGTATTTTCTACAGAGGCATATATTGCCTTTATAATGTAAAAAGTTTAATTTTAAAATTAAGATCATTGAAAAAATAAATGGAACAAATAAGTTAGAGACTAAATATTTTCTGTGGAAGAAGCACATACTTGCAAGCAGGAAAGAAATATAGAAAATCCAACTTACTGATGCATTTTTGAAATTGGGAGTTATTGCCTGAAGTCCAAGGATAACCTTTAGTCTCTGAGATTGGAAGAAAAATATGTGTGTATAAATTTTTCTTGGCAGTGAATACATCATTTTCAACAGATTATCTAAGGGATCTGTGACTTTAAAAGGTTAAAAATTACTGACACTGAATGGCCAGTTTTCCCATAAACCTTTTCTTTAGACATGAATATCTACCTAAAAGTAATCGTGACCACTATCATAAGGTCAAAATTTAGATTTTGCTTCTCCTTGATAAGTTGGCATGAATCTTGGGGATTGGGGAAATGAGGGCTCTTCATCTTGCCTTTTTTCACTTTTAGTTAATCTTTGTGAATTTGTTAATTTTTAAAAGAGTGGTTAATTCCATAAAGCCTTTTATGAAAATTAACAGTCCTTTGCTCCAACCTTCCTCTCATTTTCCTTGCTTCACAAGCATCTGCTTTCAACTCTGTTAAACAATTCTTTTGGTATTTACTTCCATATTTCCATATAACATGAATATATTGTTACTTTGATTTTTTTTGGTTTAGACATAAAATGCTCACTTCTATGAAAATTAAGGATTTATCTCTTTTTCCCATCATTCCTTGCCTCTCTCCTATATGCCTTTCCTACCCCCATTTTCTCAATATGGTTATACCATAATTTTGTTAGATGAATATTCATTTACATTATGACTACATAAACACTGTTCATAGGTGAGCCATCTAGAATATTGTGATACTTTTCTTGCACAATTTTTTATTTACCATGGATTAATAATTGTCACTTTTGTTTGTTTTAGATTTGTATGTATCTACCACTAATTCAATCCATACTCTGTTATTTGTTTAAATCTTCTCTCATTATGGTTAGATGCATCAGATATTCTATCAAATTTCATCGTCATGAAGAAATTTCTCCTGCTCCAATCTGGGATGATTGTCTTCCACAAATCCAGCCCAGCTATCATCTTGGAGTCTCCCTTCATCATCTTCCTGGGGATATCTTTTGCCTCTCACCTGTGCCGGATTCCCCGTTTCCTGGATCCCATATTTTCCCCTTTCTTAGTTTACTTTTTCATTTTTTTTGTGGAATACATCCCAGGAAAAGGGTGCATAGGTGATAAATTTATTTTGAGATTTCACACTGTTTAGAAATATGTTCAGTCTTTCTTCCACTTATTTGGCCATTTGCATGGAAATAGAATTCTACATTGGAAGTCATTACTCTTCAAAATTTTGAAAGCATTGTTATACTGTATTCAAGCTTCTAGTTTTTTTGTTGAGAAACCCAAACCACTTCTAATTTTTGTTCTTTTTAAATGTGACCTTCCACCTCACCCTTAATAGCTTTCAGGATTTTTTTTTTTTTTTTTGTCCCCACTGTTCTTAAATTTCATGGTGATGTACTTATGCATCTAATTTTAACCCACTGTGTTGAGTACTCAGTGGGCCCTTTCAGTCTGGAAACTCATGTTCTTCAGTTCTGGGAATTTTTTTGATTTACTTCATTGATTTGTACCCTTCTTTTTTCTCTATTTTCTCTTCATGTAACTTCTATTATGTGGGTGGTGTACCTTTTGGACTTGTCTTCTTATTATTTACTTGTATGGGTTGTCTTACTTTAAGAAATGTAAAACTGGATTGTGAATAGGATTATGAGAAATCTACATGGGGAATAGTTGGAGGAACTAGGTTTACTTATCCTCTAAAACATGGTCATCAAATTTTTCTGTGAAGGGCTAGATAATAAATATTTAGGCTTTGTAGTTAGGCCATATGGTCATGCATTCTGCTGCTGTAGAATGAAAGCAATCATAACTAATACATAAACAAATGAGCATAGCTGTGTTTCAGTAAAACTTTAGTTATAAAAACAGCCCATAAGCCACCCAGTTTGCTGACTCCGTCTCTAAAAGATACAAAAAGATAGATACTAGACTTGTTCTATAAGGATTAAGTTATAGCTTGTAGATACCAAGTCACTAGAAGAATAAATTTCCTTATATAATTGTCTAAAGATGGAATGTACTCCTTTAGGAATTGTGAGTTCCCTGAATTGGTAGGTAAACAAAAAGAGGACAAGGATATGGTAGAGATAATCTCAGGTTCTTTTTCCCAGTTCTAGAAATCTTTGATTGTTACTTGTTTTGGAAATGTTGGTAATATTTTATATCAAAATAATTACTTGTTTGGGATAGTACAAGTTTTGATGAGAGGGTATTAACTTCAAGAAGTTATGTTTTTCCAAAATATCATGTCCAAATCATCTTTGCTAACATTAACAGTATTTCTGACGTGTATGCTATTGGCTGAAAATTGCCTCATAAAATTAAAAACTTACAAAGAAGGTAAAATAATGTAGCTGTAACGATAAAATACTTGCTTCCTCCCTCTCCCCACACTTCTATGATTAAACATTTCTTTCTGATTCTGATGACACAAATAGCTTGGATTGTTTTGTGTGTAGAGCTATTTGTATAAGGAATTAAATAAATAGAATCAGAACCCCAAACTGTTTTCATTTGACCTACAATAGCTATGTTTATCTGAGTAATTTTTCTCCCTCTGGGTAAACAGTTGAAATACTCATTGCTGATGTTTTCAGAGCCCTAGGCCCACACAAACTATATAGGCAAACTGTTGGTACATTTGAAACATCAATGTATTTAATATCAATATTGTTCTTTAGAGAAACCGCCAGCACCATCACAAGTACAACTGATCAAAGCCACTACCAACTCTTTCCATGTCAAATGGGATGAAGTGCCTACAGTTGAGGGCTATCTTTTGCAGCTGAATACAGACTTGCCGTACCAAGCTGCATCATCAGATTCTTCAGCAGCACCAAATATGCAAGGTAACATAATTTTCACCTTAAAGCATGCATGCTCATATGCTTTTTTAAAAAAGTTACTGCAGGTGGGGCACCTGGGTGGCTCAGTTGGTTGAGTGACTGCTTTCAGCTCAGGTCATGATCCTGGAGTCCTGGGATCAAGTCCCACATCGGGCTCCCTGCTCAGCAAGGAGTCTGCTTCTCCCTCTGACCCTTTTGCCTCTCGTGCTATCTCTCATTCTCTCTCTCTCAAATAAATAAGTAAAATCTTTAAAAAAAAAAAATTACTGCAGGAAAGCCAGTGATTAAGGCCTACTTTTAAAAATTTAATGATATGATGTTTCCTGCCTGGTTAATCAAATATATTGCATTTCAACTCTGGAAACTTGCCTGTCTTACCATTATGATGTGGTAGAATGCATAGACATGTAGGATACACTGTTTTTTTTGCAGTTCATTCTGATGTACTCTCTTAATTTGACATGATACGTGACTTCAGGAGATGGTTTTAATTAGCTTTCATAAATATTTCAGCTTTTTTCAAAAGTATTTTTGTACAGTAACAGGCACTTGGAAAGTAAAAACATTTTTAATTTTACATGTTCTTTTAGAAAGGATTTTAGTCAACTATTAAGCAAACTATTAAGAAAATAGATAAACTTTGATAAAGATACTTTTTAACCTTTAATACATAACTTTTGGAAATACTTGATTGTAATATATTTTATTGAAGCTAATTTAGAGCATGTCAGTCTGAACTTTCTTATTCCTACAGGAGTCAGAATGGACCCTCACAGACAAGGCAGTAATAACACCATTCCTAACAGTGTAAGTTAAAAAAAATTTATGATGACAAATGAATGTTTAAGGTTAGAGTCCCAATTTTTATTCATATTTTTACCATATTACCTTAGGACAGAGGTTCTCAACCCTGGCCGCATATTAGAATCACCTCTGAGATTAAAAAACAAACATACACAGAATCCCACCCCTTCCCCAGATTTAGTGAAGCAGAATCTTTAGGATGATGCCCAGGTAACTGTGGTTTCAAAGAACGCTCCATCGATCACTATGGCAGTAGCCCAGATTAAGAACCCCTAACCAAGAGATTGAAGTCTACCCTCATTACACATAGCATCAGAGACTAATCCCTTATAATTTATACTTACAGTATCTTGAAATCTTTTTGACATTTCTAAATGTCATACACACTCATTTTAAATTTCAACTAATACTTGGAAAATGGACATGAAATATATTTCTTTACTATGTACTTTGTTGACCAAAGAATATGAGTTGCTAAATTGAGCACTGATGTTTGTGAGGTTCCTTCTTGTTTATGAAGTGCTTCACAATAGATATTTGTAGAGACTAATGAATAAGCTTACTAGGATTTACACTGGTTTTTCATGGCAAACTGCTACTAAATATACAGTAGATTCTTTTCAAGGAAAATGATGTAGGTGTAAGCGCATGGGTTCTGAACATGACTGTGATGGACAAGTATCTTTAGGGCCATCAGAAGTTATAACTGACTATAGAGTTATAAATAACAATCAAGATGGAGACAGAAAAGTAACAAAAAACAGGTAAGTAAAAAGGGGCAGCAATATTGGGGGTTTTGAATAAAAGCCAGATCAGTTTTATGGTGCAGTAGACCCATAGGTATTGCTTTGTAGTAGTAATTGATATTCACATTGATGACCTGAATTATCAAAAAGTTTAAATATTTTCATTATAGTGTATATAAAAAGACAAAAACAGAATTAGATTCCTATCTAAAATGTTTAGTGGTAAAGAATATTGATATGTGTATATATTAAATCTTGATTTCTCTTTGCAAAACTCAATCATACAGAATAATTCATTTGCTTGAACTGAGATTTTATTTTTAGGAGTCATCAGATCTTTAATGTCCATATTGACCTTCTTAAGAAAATTTGACAAAAATGTTAAACTCGGTAGCTTTGGTGTTATCTCCTGTGTTACATACATATTTACTTGAATACTAACTACCACTTATAAAAATGTAGTGTTTTTTCTTCCTCAGAATATACCCTCCCATTCCCCTTCGGAACTGGTCTTTTGAGAATGGAGATTAAGTGAAGAAATTGTTTTCTTAAACTATTGTAAAATTTAAAGAACAATCCTATACAAATTAAGAATATAATTTAAACTGTTTTATATCTTGGTAAATTTATTTTCCAAAAGCATTTAAGTTGTAAATTATTTTGCTTGTTTTTTACATGTATTTTTATTCAATTGAACATTGCTTGCTACAATAAACTATTTTATTTCTTATAGATCAGTGATACAATGAACAGTACAAAAACCGAACATACAGCTATGAAAGGAACTTCTGTGAAAAACAGACCAGATCTCAACGCATCAGCTGATTCTAATGCCACTTTACATTCATCTTTGGCAACTAATGCTTCTAATCATAATAGTTGTGTTGTGGATGTGCTAAGGAAAAATGAAGGTATAAGATGGCATTTTAAATAAAGCTAAGGCTTTTTATAATATGGAATTTTAGTCTTTGGAAAAGTAAATGTTCTATGGTTTTGATCCATTTTCAAAATAATAATAAGCCTGCCATATTGACCCTAGTTAGAGTGATGTCAAGATACCAAGGAAGCACCTACCTGAATAGTAACGCTTAGTTACAAGCTATGGAATTCAGATGAGGCGAGCTTTTGTATGACATTTGAGGTTGGCCAGTGTTGCAGTGTCCCTCTCCCATTACTGTATTTTCTTAGCACTTAGAACTATCTGAAATTATTTATTTTGGGCAGGGATTTTCTTGTTCATCTTTGTTTCCTCAGCACCTGAATCCATGCCTGGTTAATAGTAGTCACTTAGTAAATATTTGTATAGCAAGTAACTGGATTATCCTCAGAAATATAGTTCATTTATGAGAACTGTTGATTACATTCATGGGACAGCTTGTAATTCAGTGAACCTTATATTTAAAATGGGTTCATTTGAATATTCTTATGCCGTTTGAGATACATTCAGCACTGTGCCTGATTTAAATATCTAAAATTATTCTATAAATCTCATTCTGATACGTCTGTGACATAGAAACATGTGACTGTATTTTTAATTTGAAAACATCATGACAGCTGATACAAATCTAAATCCTCTTCCATGATGCAAACTTAAGATGAATATAATATTTATTTCCATTTTTCTTTATGAGCCCATGGTAGATAAAAGTATTCAAGGAAAATAATTTCCTGCCATTTTTCCTCATTTCATTACATGTGGAAAAGGAAAACACTTTTGTTTTCTTGATTTTCTGATGGAATCATTTGGTCAAAATTATAAAAGCCTGATCCTGGGCTGCAGCTTATATTTCTGTCTTTGTTTATTTATTTGACAGAGAGAGAGAGCACAATCAGGGGAATGGCAGGCAGTGGGGGAGGAAGAAGCAGGCTTCCCGGTGAGCAGGGAACCTGATGAGGGGCTCATTCCTAGGACCCAGGGATCATGACCTGAGCCGAAGGCAGATGCTTAACCGACTGAGCCACCCAGGCGCCCCTGTTTTTCTTTCTTGTACTGATTTTCTATGTTTGTCTTATAAAGAAGTTTATATTCTTGAAAACAAATAAAAGCTTTGAGATTTCAGAATCTTAATGCACTCTAAATCCTATGTTGTAGGGCAGTTTGGAAAAATTAGTACTAGGCAAACGGGAAAACCAGAGTGGTTGTACAGTGACAGTATCTGGCAGATCATAGACATTCAAATATGTGAATGAATGGCTACCCAATGTCAGGTTAACAAGAGGAGATTGGACTTTTTCTCTGGAGGTTAGTGTAGCTGGTATGTTTTAAAAGTGGAAGAGTGACATGATTAGTTGTTGTTTGGAAAGAACACTCTGGCCTCACCATCAGAACTATAGTAGGAAATGATTGAGAGACCTGTTAGGGTGTTCCTTTAGGACTGCAAGAGACAAAGTGGGTGGGGTGGAGAGGAGAGAATATATTATTTCTCAGACTTTTAGAAACTAGCATCCATTATTAGCTAGCCTTGGAAACTGGTTGGCTATGAGAAATAAAAATGAGTTGACCATGACTCCCAGTTTTTGGGGTTGGAAATTCAATGGATGATGATACTCTTTATCAGGATAATGAAATACAGGAGCAAGAGCAGACTTGGGAAAAAGGTACGTTCAACTTTGAACTTAGTGTTTTTGAGGCACTTGAAGAACATATTGGTAAAGATTTCTAATGGGTAGTTGGATACTTAGGTATAGAGTTTAGGTAGTAGTTTTTGGCTGGAAGTAAAATTTAGAAGTTAAGGGTATCTAAAATATAAGTTCCACAAGAGCAGGAACCTTGTCCAACTTGTTTACTGTGAGATTCCTAGCACCTGGCACAATGCCCAGGACATATGTATTTGAGAGAGGGATGATTTGTGAATGTAGTTAAAGCATAGGAAAATACGTAAATGGAGAAAAGAGAGGGCTTGGGAACATCTGCATTTAAAGAGTCATTTGAAGAGAAGAAACCAGCTAAAGAGATTGAAAAGGGATTCCTAGAAGGTCAGGAAAAGAACCAAAGAGATTGGTGTCCTATTTTTTTCCAGGCATCACAGTTTGTGATTATATATTTATTATATATGCAGGTCTCTCTCTATCACATGATTTTAACTTGATGAGGTATTAGCCATGCCTGCTTTGTTTCAACATTGTAGAAACAAGCACCGTATCTGTTAAAGAGTAAATCTTCAGTATTGTGGAATGAGTAATTATAAGTCATAGAAAGAAACAGCCTCAAAAAGGAGTATGTGGTCAGCATTGTTTACATTGCAGAAAGGTCAAGTAAATGGAACTCGAAAGGCATCCCTTAGAAATCACTGACGTTTGCCAGAGCTACTTCATTAGAGGTGGGCTAGAAGCCAGGTTTGAGGAGGTCAAGTAAGTAGAGACTGCTCTGAAGGGAATTAGTGAGGGGCAGAGGTAACTGGAGGGGATTTGTGGGGTCAGAGAAGATGCGTGTTTGTTTGCTTGAGAGACTTGATAATGTTTATGGACCGATGGCCAAAAACTACTAATGAAAAAGAATCTGAAAATGCTGAAGAGAGAGTAATGATTAATGAAAGAGGGTCCCAAAATATGGGGAGGGAATGGGGCCAAGAGCACAGGAGGATAGATTATCCTTCCTCAGGAGAGAGGTCAGTTCATCCTCTGAAATGGAAAACAGAAAAGATGGGCATAATCACAAATATATTTCTAGTTTAGGGCAGGAGAGGCAGAAAATTGATGGCATTCATGCCTGATGACTTCTATATGTTTCTCTAAAATGGGAAGCAGGGCATTTGATCTACGATTTAGGAGAGTCCAAGAGCAATGATTCAGTGTGGAAGAAGGAGCTGAGAAGTTGAACATCTGTTTTCTGTGTAGTGCACTTTATTTTTCTAAACATTATATGCCTAGTGGTTAATTCATATGAATGACATGTACATTACTCATGTTTATATTTTTAAAATCGAAAATACCAAGAATTGTATGACAAGAACCATAATATGGCACACTTATTGCAGGCATTATGTTAATAATTGATCTTTTCACTTTAATTTTAGGTCCTCATACTTCAGCAAATATAGGTGTTCTAAGTAGTTGCCTGGACTTAAGAACAGTAATCCCTGAAACTTCTGTATCCAGTTCTGTTTCCAGCGCACAAACTATGGTAACCCAGCAGACCATTAAAACTGAATCATCCAGTACAAATGGGGCAGTTGTAAAAGATGAAACTTCACTAACAACATTCAGTACCAAATCTGAAGGTTTGAAATGTGTTTCACATACTGTATTTTGAACCATTTTTGTATATAAATTCATCAAACTTATTTGTTTAGATGGGAATTCCATTTCATCTTGGATTGAATCATATATAAACAGATAAAACATTTCAATTAAAATTATTATATAATATAGTCTGCTGCCTTCCATAAAATATTTAAATCAGCACACACTGAAATACATTCAGAATGTATTTTTCCTACCATGAATATATTCAGTAAACTTCTTTCCCATAGAAAAGATTCATTCTTTAGACTATGGAGTAATAATTCTCCCAGCTTGATTGATTTCTGATTTTGTAAATGCTCATTTCATTCTTTTGCAATAGGACTTGTGTTTCATCTTTGGTAAACATTCTCTGAAGTTCTAGCAAGTCTTCAAACCCTTGAGAAATGAACTTTGCGAATTAGTTCGTATTAGAGCGTCCATATTTCAAATTATTGTGTTTTTCTCCCTCTGGCTATTTTTTGTATGTTTATAAATTATATTTTAATGTGTTTGCTGAGTGATTACATGAGTCTTATATGATGAATTGTTTGGTTTTTAGTTGACGAAGCATGTGCACTGCCTGCGACTAAGATCAGCCGTGTAGAAGCACATGCTGCAGTGATGCTGTTTTCTGTAAGTATATGACCTGAAGATCCTATGTGTTTAAAGGTGGGATGCTGAGCAACTTCAGCATAAATTCATGAGAAGATTCTTGGGTGTCCTCTAGTGATGACTCTGCCAAAGACTGAGAAATGAAGGCTTGAATAGAAAAATGTTAAGTGAAAAAAGCTGCATAAAAAATAATATATATATACTGTGGTCCTGATTTTATTAAAATACACACACGATACATACATTCTTACTCTCACGTGAGTCCATGCACATCCACCCTCTAATGCTAGATGACTTTCTCCAGGCTGTGCGGCCACAGATAATTTTTACTTACCTCTGTGGGCCTTCAATATTTTTGTATAGTGAAATGTGCTGCTTTCATAATCAGAAATATGAGTGTGTGTATGTGTACGTATATATGTAAATCTCATTAATGGCTTAAAGAGTAAAAGGACATGTTAGAGAATATAAAACTTCAATGGCTCTATTGCTAGCTATTGGGAGAACGGCAGAATATTGCAAATTGGGTTAGACATACCTATAGGGTAGCCCAATAATCTCTGACATTGGGTTGTTTTATGAAAGGCCAAAATTGGTCTGCATGGCACCAAACTTAAAATGCTAAGTATGTGCCTCACAAATATACCACGGTTGTCTTAATGAGGTAAATATAAGGGTAAACATATGTGTGTGCATGTGTGTGTATATACTTTTTAATTTTAAAATTATCAGTCATTTCAACTTTATTGCTATGAGCAAGAGTTTTTATTTGACCTAATATTTACCTCTGGGAATCTTCAGGAATTGTCTGTAGTTTTAGTTTTCTTTCAATCATGATTTTATGGATTTCTATCAGATATTTACCTTCATCAGTTTTCACCTTTATAAAATGTTAAGTCCTAGAATTCTTAAACTCCTCTCAGGGAAGAATTATTAAAGGGAACTTTTTTTCTCCTAAACCTATTTTGCAACACATCAGCCAGAATGGTATTTGTTATTTCAGATGGAGCCCAGGTGTCTTATAAAAGTTGTTGAAGAGAGTTTTTACAACTTTAAGAATGAAAACAAGCTTAAAGATATTCCTTAAAAAAAAAAAACTTAAAAGACTTTTCTGATTAGCTCACGTTGTCATGTGTGATAGCCTAAATAACAAATAATGTGAACTGTAAGCATGTACCTCTGCTGTTATATATTTAAGACAGAAATAAATAACTGAAGTGCATATTTGTTTTGAGCTTCTGGAAACAGTGTCTCATTTATAAAGAAGATGGCTTAAAAAGGTTAGTTCTAGGGATAAGTATAATTCACTTATCACTAAAAGTAGCGTAAGGTAGAGGAAGTTTGTTTTCAAGCAAGGTAAAAAATATAAAACTGTTTAATCTGCTCCTCTTTAGTATATACTAAAGTATATTCAAATTGCATTTTAGTTTTGAACATTTTTTCTCCTTTTAGGTTTGGAGAATCACAGGTATTTCAAGTGCAAAGATCACTGAATTTCTGCTAGTTGTTTTTGAGTCTAGAAATAAGCCAGCTTGGAATGAATTTTTCTTTATTTGCTCCTTTTGGAGCAAGGTGTAATTTCACACTAAAGGGATTACATTTTCTGAGAGGGTCTCTGAAATGACAGTGTTCTGTAAAACAGCCAGCATTTTAACATATCACTGATTGGAAAGCATGCTAACTCCAGCTAGGTTGATAGTGCAGAGCCACTGACTTGGAGTATGCCTGTCACTCCCTGTGTTTGAATTGGCATCCCTGTTTCACTGTCAGTTGACCTAATCTGTTAAGAGTTTATTTACTTATGAGCTTTTAATGTTGTGGTGTTTACCCATATATCTACTTGTAGATCACTGCATGGATTTATTAAATCTTGAAGTTTCTTATATGCACAATAAGAGTCCTGATAAATTTTTCTTTCTCTGAAATTAGAAAGAGACTCCTTCAAATCCAGTGGCCACAATGAAAGCAGGAGAACGACAGTGGTGTGATGTAGGAATTTTTAAAAATAATACGGCTTTGGTGAGCCAGTTTTATTTGCTGCCAAAAGGAAAGCAAAGCATCTCAAAGGTAGCTATTGATCTATATTACCTACCCTGTGAGTTATAAGTTTCATGAATGAGATATTTTTTTATAACCCTGATTCAAGTCACTTGAATGCATGAAATTGGGATCTGTTCACAATCTATAATTGAGATTTCTATCTATATGCCTAATTATCTTGTATTCTTTTTTAAGGCACTTTTTATGGAATGTATCACAAGCAGGTCACTTAAAAAACCTTATACAATCACTGGGCTGGATTTTGAGTCATAAATGATATGGTCTGGCCAGTACAGATAAGGATTTTTTGAAATATCTCTAATTTTGTTACCTGGTGTGTTTTGACAATGGAACATTTTTTTCTTACTGAGAACTTTTTTTTTTTTAAGGCTTGTTTATTTATTTAGCGTGTGAGTGCGCAAGTCAGGGGAGGGGCAGAGGGAGAGAAGCCGACTCCACACTGAGAGTGGAGCCTCTGTCCCAAGACCCTGAGATCATGACCTGAGCAAAATCAAGAGTCTGACGCTTAACCAACTGAGCCAGCCAGGCACCCCTTTACTGAGAATTTTTTAAATTCCTGATTTCACAACTTAAAAAATTTAAGAGCCCCTGTTGGTTATTGAATACAATCTAATTTTCTCTTGATTATGAAATTCCTTTAAAGAAGAACTCATATATGTAAGTGAGACATTAACCCTAAGAATTATGAAATAAATAACAGTTCCAAAGCACATTGAACTGATTTTTTTCTGGAATGGGGAATTTCAGAGAGTGACTTGCGTAGACCTACAGAAATGGATAATTTATCATTTATCATTACATTTTAGTTTTTCTAATATTACTTCTGATATCTTTCTTTTTCATATAGAATTCTTCCAATTCTTGACAAAAACAGAAATTCTGGTTAATAATTTGTTAGTATTATACCTAATGAAATTTCTGGCGGTAGTTTGATTTTATATATAAGGAAATAACAATACCTAAGGGCCTAGTAACTACCTGTTTTTCCCAAAAGAAAAACAGAGCATAAAATTTAGAACCAGTAAGCTTGGGTTTGAATCATTAGTTCCAGTACTCAACAGTGTGACCTTGGACAAGTCACCTGTTTAACCTCTCTGAGACTCAGTTTCCTCATCTATAAAATAAAAATGATATTGCTCCCTTAAAATTGGGAATGATACATTAGCACTACCTGCCTCACGGTGGTGCAGTGAGAGTTAGGGAGAACATGTAAAAACTGTTTGAAAGTTGTAAACATTATGAACCTCTACCCAGAATATGCAATCCAGTTATTTAACATTTATTCAGCATCTGCTGAATATTAATTTTTAAAATGCTCTATACTACATGCTAGTCACTTCTGTCAAGCTTGCTTGCCTATATCCAAAGGGTATTGTTCCTGCTTAGACTATTTGAGAGTAGTTCTTCTGAGATTTCTACTCTAAGTTTACAAGGATAGTTGTTACTTTGTTTATAGTGGTCGTCAATTTTTTTCTACCTTCATATTTTTCATGTGCAGAACACACTTCAGTTTCTTTTTATAATCAGTGGTTTTTAACTGGGAAGGGCACTTTTCCTCTGGATAAGAATCACCAATTTATGGGCTTAGTTGCTTTTGTATTGGAAGGTTTACTCCATGTGTAAAAAAGGGAAATAAATGTGAACTAGAACCTTAAAATATAATCCATTCCTTAAAAGTTTTCTTGTTGAATGACAAAATGATGAATTGCACCTTTTGACTTTTGCATGTATTACATTTTAGATAGGAAATGCAGACGCACCTGACTACAGTTTACTTAAGAAACAAGATCTTGTTCCAGGCACAGGATACAGATTCAGGGTTGCTGCCATCAATGGTTGTGGAATAGGCCCTTTCAGCAAAATCAGTGAATTTAAAACTTGTATTCCCGGTTTTCCTGGAGCTCCTTCTGCAGTCAGAATTTCAAAGGTGAGATGTCAGGTCAAGACTTGGTGATTTAATTATTGAAATTTTGTACATAAAGTAAAACTGTCAGTTTAGAGATTCTTGTTAGTATCTGATGAAATGAGAGGTATCTAAAAGGGGTGGATTGATGTACACCTGAAACTAACGTAATGTGTGTGTCAATAGTACTTCAGTAAAAAAAAAAATTAGGTCTTAAATAAATAAAAGGGGTGGATTATAAGTTTAAAAAATGTTTGCTAATCACTCATGATTTTAAGGACCAAATTTCAAGCAAAATTACAGCATCCAAAATATAGAAAGTCAGAGAAATCTGGTATTCTTCTTAATATTAACTTTGTTCTTATTGTATGGAACCAAAAAGTTTGTGCTGGAGAATTTTAATAGAACACATGAAATTGAATTATATTTTATCCTAAGGTCCTGCCCCTCTTTAGAGAAGAAAAGATCTGCTTTCAGGTAAGAAAAATCCCTTTCTTAGGATGGTACAGGCAGACATTTAAGCCTAGTTATGGTATTGAAAAGTGGGCATGAATTAAACATTGTAGATCCAATTAGGTTTTTAAAAATCAATAATCAAAGTTCTAGTATCTAATGCAATTACTTTAGCAGAAAGCAGTATTTTGTATTCTAAAGATAGACTCAACATTATAAGTGATATTAGAGAAAACTTCAGAACGTTTACATGGTTTTGTTTTGTTTTTTTTTTTCTCCTCTCTTCAAGAATGTTGAGGGTATCCATCTCTCCTGGGAACCTCCAACTTCCCCTTCTGGAAATATCTTGGAATATTCAGCCTACTTGGCTATCCGCACAGCACAAATACAAGATAATCCAAGTCAGCTTGTGTTTATGAGGATTTATTGTGGTCTTAAGACATCATGTATAGTAACTGCCGGGCAACTTGCAAATGCACATATCGATTATACATCCAGGCCTGCCATTGTGTTCAGGATATCAGCAAAGAATGAAAAGGGATATGGACCAGCTACGCAAGTTCGATGGCTTCAAGGTAACAATAAAAAAGCACCTTTAAATTGAATTTTTTTTTTTTTTACTGAAGCTATTGTGATGATTATTTATTAGTAACTGGTTTTAAGATTTGTCATTTAAAAGAGTATTCTCCGACTGTATTTCTAGCACTTATGAGTTTGAGTTTGTAAGTTGTTCTTAAAATGTATTTGCTCAATTTTAGATCCAAATAAAAATAGAAAAGAAGCAAAGACTCTCTGAAAATTAGTATATGGATTCGTCCTTACAGTTATATAACTGCTTTTTTTGTAAAGGAAAATAGTAAATTAAGATAAAAGCTAGAAGGCTTTCTTACCCCAGTATCTTTTCTAAAGGCCATGTAACTCAGTCATCCTAGAGTTATTGAGATGATTCTAGTAACTGGCTGTTGTGCACTGCGCTGTCCTACATAGTAGATGTTCTCTCCATTGTCAAGGACCCGTCTTTGAGTACTCCCTCTAACTTTATTATTCTAGATGAGCAGCGGTCCTCTTAATAACTATCTTCTACTGGACAATATTTGTGATACTAATTTTAGTAGCCGCTATTTGATTCATTTCTTTGTTTGTCTACAGTTAGCACAGAGCTTAAGAAATTACAAAAGAAAGAAAGAGGCGAGTTCAGAAACTCTGATTTTGAATTTTTATTATTTTCCAAGAATCATGGCAAAATACAAAAAGAATAATGGGTTTTCTTGATTCATACCTGATATATTGGAATATATTTTTGGCCAAAGCGCTTAACTTACCCGGTCCTTGGTTTTCTCATTAATAGAAGACAGAGTTAAAAAAATTTACATTTAAGGTTTCTTTCAGCACTAAAATTCTGTATTTTCATCAGAAGCAAAGTGTATCTGTTAACATTTTAACATCTGTCTTAATGGCTTTAACTTTGCTTTTGCTGAAATTAATAAAACCTTCATAATTTAAAATTCAAAATTGAAGTATATATGTCCTCCTTATTGCAGAAAGAAAGAAGCACCTTAACAGAACACAAGTTTTGAAATAGTGTTTTAAACATTTGTAAGATTTTTGTAAAGCTCTAAATGTTTTATTTTTGCATTGTTTTTACCTCAAAATTGTATAAACTTTTTTACAACTGAAATATAAGCATTAGACAGCTCACTCAGGTCCCACTGCAACCTTAAAGATGCAGATAGGCATGATGGATCCTCTGCCACAGGTAGCTTGTTTTGAACCTTTTTGGAATGTCATGGTTCCACTGCCTGTTCAGATCTGGAATGGAAATACAGAGCAATAAGTGCAGAAAAGGTCGTTCACACTACAAGCTGCAATAACCGCATGGGCCCAGGCCTATCTTTTTTATACCATGTAACCTTATGCCAGTGTAGGTTGACTGAGTAGCTGTGTCCTCGAACTTCACATAGAATACTCCCAGCCAAGATGGATTTAATTGTGCAGAATTGATATATATGTATGTTCCAGTTACTAATTTAAAGTGTATAGAATATTTTAATATATAATTTTTGTAAAGAACTGGGATTTTTATACTACAGTATTTGTAATTAATGTGTCTCACTAATTAAGTTTCTCTTGAAGAAAATATGCAAACTGTTAGACACGTAATGAGTGATTTCCAAACTCTAAAGGTAAAATAAATGCACTACTCTGGTGTTGTTAGAATACCTTTTTTGTGGCTGTATGAATCCTTAATCTTTAAATGTGTATTTTACAAACAATGTTTACAAGGAGCCTCTCTGGTTTGTTATGTCAGCACCTCCCTTGGTGAGAGCTTCATTCTGCATTTGTTAAATTCATATGCTTTGCTTTTAGCATATGCTTGCTTTTTGCACTAGTAGAATTTTAACTTACCTCATTATTATGTTTGTAATCATTTGTATAGATTCCATAATATGTCTGATATAGGCTAAACAAATACTTAACCAAAGTTAAAATAAATGGTAAGCAATTTTGCACATATTCAATGCTAGGGTTTGTTGTGTATATGTGTGTGTTTAGCTATAAAAAGAGTAAGAGTGGAAAGTTAGAGTATATGTTTCAAGTCCAATTATTTTAATGATCTGTTTGCTTTATTAGAAAAAGGTCTCGCTTTTACCTCCTTATTCTCTGCATTAATTAATAATTTGCATCTCGAAGCACTTCTCTTAATGACAGGACTAAGTTGACTTTAAGCAAAGAATAGAATATTTGTTTGAGTGTGCACATTTATACCTGTTTAGTATTCGTTTAGTTTACTTTGCTTTACATTGCCTCAACTGTGCTGTGAACCTGTGGTTCTAACATACATCTTATTTTTAGAGAGAAAGGCAGTCTTTCTATACCAAGGGATTTGTGAAAATGACAAATGTTTTTACTTTGAGAATTAGCCCAGATTGTGTTATCATTTTTTGGCATTTGTATATTAAGCAGCAGTCATATTTATGGGTGACTGAAAAATGCCATTGAGAAATCTCCGTGGCTTGACATTAATAGTTAATAACAGATCTTCAAGCTGCATGTTCATGAATAGAATGGACTAGGGTAAATAACAAGAGAAGTGCATTTAGCTTCCTATGATTTGCACATTTTCTGAGTGAAGATCCCTGAGTAGCAGTGGGCTAGATCATGCAGATATCTTTCATAAGAGGATTTATGCTGAGTTAAATGACTTTCTTTACTCCTCCCTGCTGGATAGGCAGTCCAGATGTTCAAGCCCTTGTGCCACAGTCCTCTTCCTGGGCTCTACAACTTGGTTTCACATATGTAGTAAAAAGATTTAGATGTTGCATGCTCTTAGAATTATATTTTCTAAAATATTGTATTGGCTTCATTTTAGTTGAGTAAACTGTTTTGGTAATTTAACTAGAAATAGGGTATTATAAACTCACTTTTATCCACATTAAAACAGAACGGAAAGAATCTGATTGCATGTATGAGGCCCCCTTGCCCTATAACCCAATTACATAAATACAATCATCTATAAGAAGGTAAAACTGTTGATCCATTATTTCAGACTTGTAGCCTAGCAAAGATTTGATCTGGTTAGAGATATGGTCTACTATAACTGAAGGTATTATTTTAAAAAAATTGCAGCACTTGTAGCATAAAAATCATTTGTAACATTGGCTATGAAGAGATAATTAGTATTTAAAGTTATTGTAGTAATCTGACCATGAATGAAATAGGTTGCAAAATAGACTTGGTCTTTGACTGCTTAAGGTATAACTGACAGTTAAGTTTTCCAAGACTGATTTTAGGCAGTTTCATGTATTATGTACCAATGATAATGTAAAATAAAGCACCTTTTCTATTATAACCAATTACAGGTGTTATTTATTTTGAACTCTATGAGAGAAAAATTAGTGATGGCAGAGTAAATCTGTAGAAATGTTGACTTTATATCATTCTTAAAATAATATAGGCAGTCTCATAAAGAACAGATTGTGTCCCAAAACTTGTTTTTAAGTCAGTGGATTGTGTTCGGGAGTCATGTTCTCATACAAACGTGAAGACTGTATCTCTCTAACCTTTCTTGTGGCTGAGCTCGTAAGTGAAAAGGCACATGGCTCCAGGAAACAGATCTAAACTGTTGCCATCTCTTTTTTTGTCTTCTGTTCACTCTTAGTCTTTTGTCTTTATGCCTTGCACCCACTTTAATTCACCGCAGCCAGACTTCTGTCCTGCTACTCTGTCAGAACGGCTCTAGCAAAGGTCAGGGGGAGCTTCTCATTTCCCAAATCCGGTGATTACTCTCGTCCTTCATAACTCAACCCCTCCCTAGAGACTTGGACATTTTCTTGGTTTCTGTGATACTCGCTCTCTCTGTACCTCCTCCTGTCTGTAGTCCCCTTTTCCACTTGCACCTGCCTCCATTCATTTTTTCAAGACTCAGGTCCTTTTTCAAGATTCCAAAATGGAGGGCGCCTGGGTGGCTCAGTCGTTAAGCGTCTGCCTTCGGCTCAGGTCATGATCCCAGGGTCCTGGGATCGAGTCCCACATCGGGCTCCCTGCTCGGCGGGAAGCCTTCTTCTCCCTCTCCCACTCCCCTGCTTGTGTTCCTGCTCTCACTCTCTGTCAAATAAATGAATAAAATCTTAAAAAAAAAAAATTTCAAAATGGAGCCTTTCTTGACATGCTCCATCCATATCCGGGTAGATTTGCCCCCTTCTTCTTGTGCCCCCACTGTCCTTTGTCAAATCTTCTGTCACAGCAGCCTAAAAAACATTGTATCCTTACTTGTTAGCATTGTTTTCTCCCTCTGCCAGAATGGTGGTAGGTCTTTGAGGCAAAGACTGGATCTTTATATTTCTTACATATCGGCCATTCAGCTGGTACTTAAATATGTTAACACATGGTTAAAGAAAATTGTCATCTTTACATCTCTCCATATTCTCACTCCCCTTTCTCAAATTGGGATGAAAATGGGAGGGAGGCTTTGCTAGGGAAAAGAGATTTTAGCAGATTTAGTAAGTCTCTGGAGGAAATACTAACACCAGCTTTGTCTTATCCTACCCTGCTCTTACTTAGGTTCCTAGGAGAAGTTCTGGGATAAATAAACGGTGTGTCACATATGTACTGGGCTAAAAGGGGTTTAATCTAGGTATGTACAGATCTCAAGCAGAAGTCTTTGATCTAAAAAGATCTGAGCATTTAGTGAGATTGTTGGATATTGCTGAATTACGATTTTTAAAATTGGATGATCCAGAAAATGAGCTAAAAATATTTCCAAACTATTTCCTTATAGGAAAGCCATGGGCAATTATTTAGCATTAGGAAAAAACCACCTACCTATTTAATACTTAAGCACAGGGACTGCTGAAAGACATGGAACACCAGCATTAATACATATCAAGTCAGGCCACTGTTGTCACCTCCGAGCTTATAGGACAAAGGATTCTTACCCTAATAGAAAACAACATGACATTGGCACAACTTCCACATTTCCCAGTTATAGTTGGGAGTCCCTATACTATTTCTGTAACTCAGGAAGACTTTGTGTGTGTGTGTGTGTGTGTGTGTGTGTGTGTGTGTGTGTGTGTGTG